TTTTTGAAGGCATGAGTTTTTTTTCTACCACCCGCACTCTTTACATTGCTCTGTTTCTCATGTCGCGTTGGGATACCATTGGTTTGATCGCTCTACTGTTTTGACTTCACATCCCCTTTGGATGATTTATGCTCTTACATTCTTTATGATCCCCATTCTCCACTTGGATATCTTGAATTTATGACTAGGGTGTCGGATTTGGAACGAGTTCGTGCGAACTTCCGGCAAGGACATGCGTCCTTCCACTTAATGATAACTAATACCGTGATGTTTGTCTAAAATCTGTAACTACACATGCTGCTTTAAAGCGATGTACAGGCCGGTTTGTGTGTAGTCGTTTATACATATACAGAGAAGTACATACAACCTTGAAGTTGCAACGCGTAAACAGAACAACAAAGTTTGAGTCATGCCAACGGCTGTGGCAGATGAACGACCAATCTTTATTATACGAGAGTGCATGAACATCACTGCAGTAACGCTGTCAGGATTGTCTCACGCCATCCGCCGCCGTTTCCTGCCACCGTCATCGTTGCCCTCACTACCAAATCTGCGTTCCATAGGCATCTCTTTCCTTTCCTTAGAGGCAATCTTCTTCCGTCTCCTTTCCAGGGCCTTCGTGCGTTCCTTCGAATTCATATTCTCGTATTTCTTGAGCATTACTTGCTTCTTGAGATCGGACTTCTTCAAAAAGTATGGGTTGCTCTTCTTTCCTTCGCGGATGAGCTGTTTCTCTCGTTTCTTATGCTCTGCTATCACCTCCTCTTCCCGCCTCCGGTTCTCAATTGCACGTAGACGATCCGACGTGGACCGAATCTCACGCTTCAACGCTTCCTTCTCCTCAGCGTGCTTTGTTTTGGCGAACCTAGCCCTTAGCTCTTTCAGCTCTGAAGAACGATAATCGTCTAGGAACGAGTATGCCTTCCGGGCTGTTTCAGCATCATGGCGACCGCCTTGACTGAGCACCGTCGGGTCAAACCGTGGGTCTCGTGATTTGGGCACTGATGGTGGTTCGACAACAGTCCGCTTGCGCGAAACGGCACGTTTGGATGATTGAACCATGGGGGCATGTTTCGAAGTCCTTGCAGGCTTTGCCGAGTCCTTAGATTTTCCTGATTCTTGACGCTTCTGCTCCCGTGCCTCACGAATTCGCGCTCTGATGTCGTCTAGCGGTGATGTCGTCGGCGGGGATGCTTCTGTAGGTTTGGCAATTTTTGCATGGCGCTTGGCTTTCGGACCCAGTGATGCTTGTGCTTTGGCGAGGGCTCCAAAAGATATGCTACTAAGGGACGCTTGGACATCGTCTTCTCCATTATCATCGTCGTCGCTGTCTTCGTCGTCTTCTGAGTCGACGGGCTCGTCGTGTTCAGACTATTGGGGAAGTCAGAATGGCGTTATGTAGGCTAGAGAGTAGGGGCATTTAAACGAACGTTGTCGTCGGTCTCCTCCAGTGCTTCGTTGTCAAGATCATCTGAACCTGAATCTGATTCACCTGAGCGTCCATCATCACTTCCTTCTTCCGATGCTGACTCTTCCGAATAAATTTCTTCGTCGTCCTCTGGCAAAGCGCGCACGCGACGATTGAGGAGATCCGAGATCGCCATTTTGCTAGCAGTTATATCCGAGTTTTACAACTGACCCAAAGAAAGAAAAAGAGAGCCAAGGATCAAAGAAGCGAGTGCATCAGTAGAAGCCAATCAATGGCGGTGAAGGCGGAGCAAAAAAAATGCAGCAATACTGCCGGTCGTTAAGGCGGTGAGAGAAGCAGCTTCGCTCTCGTTGGTGGATCTGGACCGTTTGGTCGCGATTTTCCACTTCGCCATCAGTTTCATCGCATTCTCGTTTGCTCTCTTACACCTTACTGTTGGCTGTATCACCTCATTCGTGTGCCCATGGGATGCCGCTCATGTACGGCCACCTTCTCCTATATTTTCACTCCAGCTCTACCCCCGTCACTTTCCACACTGCATGTTCGCATGTTTCAAAGTGGGGCTTCCTCTAAGGTGCATCGGCGTATTTCTTGCCTTGTCCGATAAACAACTGACCTCTATAGTTTATCCCGAAGTCTGTATCGGCACCATTTTCTACTTCGACATTGCTTTCACGTTTGTGCCATCGGAAGAAAAAACCACCAGCTTTGGTTAACACCGAAAGACTCCCCGATCTTGGAATGGCGAAACAGACAGCTGAAGGAGACAATTGGCCTACTGTTGCAGAGAATGGGTCGGGCTACGGTGAAACCCAGGCAGATGCAAATAACAACCTTAGGGCATCATGGAGACCATATCGAGGTCGCTGGAATGCGAAGACGGTGACTCGCAATGACCCGGGAAGAGCAACGGCGCAGGCCCCTGAGAGAGTTACGCTTGGTGACCAGCGGAGGAATCGCAGGCTGCGCAATCAGGTATCGGCGGGCAGAAATTTGAACGCAGACACACAGGCGCATCAGTTTCGCCCGGAAGGGCCGTTCCCTGTTCGCCCAGCACCATCAATTACGCAGTCGTATTCCTCACAGAACAATACGCACATGGGAGCAAGCCACGGCGCTTCTAGCAGTCGTCCAAACTTCAGTATGCCCATATTCCCTGGAGGTCCAAGTGGGATGGCTTTCAATGAACAGGCACCTCAATTCCCATTCTTTTCTCCAAATAACCCGAATCAACTGTCCCAATCTCAGCCTTCCGATCAACCCGCGTTCGGACCATTTAACCCGGCTTTGCTGAATGACATGAGTAATCCTCTGAATTACTTCTCCCTCGTGCCTCCATCTCCCTTCATGATGAACTTTGGTCTACAAAATCCCGCGATGGCAGGACCCCTCTTAAGTGGCTTTCCGTCCTTGCCCTTTGATCCAATGGCTTTTGCAGCAGCTGGTTCTGCTGGAGGCAATACTTCAGATACGCTTGGTCAACCACCTGTCGGAGCATCGGCAACGAAGCACGAAGTTTTGCCGCCACCTAAACCTCCATCCCCTGTCAGATCATACATTGAGCAGTCGTCCTCACCACCCAAATTGGTCACTTCTCCACAGCCACTGCTGGTCATCTTGGACTTGAATGGCACGCTGATTTACCGTAAGCACCGGCGGTTCCCCCCTGTGTTTGCCAGAAGGGCAGGGCTGGACGAGTTCTTGGATACCTTGATGAGAAAATACAAGGTTATGATATGGTCCAGTTCCCAGCCGAACACGGTGAAGGCGGTTTGCGACAGGCTCTTCCCGGGCAATAAACGAAAGGCACTTGTTGCGGAATGGGGTCGCGACAAGTTTGGTCTCACGTCATCCCAATATCGGGCTAAAATCCAAGTTTACAAAACATTAGAGACGGTATGGAGCAATAAGGAGATTCAAGCGTCATACCCATCGCCTCCTCAGAATAAACGCCGCAAAGCCGCACAGAATGGCACGCAGTTGAAAACCCGATGGGACCAGTCCAACACCATCTTGATTGATGACAGTAAACTCAAGGCTCTCAGTGAACCACACAACATACTTGAGATTCCGGAGTTTACCAACCAGCCCGGTCTCGATGAGTCTACAATATTTCCAAAGGTTATGCAACTCCTGGACGAACTAGCAAAACATGACGATGTCAGCAAAGTTCTCCATCAGTGGAACTTAGAGTTGCCCGAGAACCAAGGCATTCTTGAGCTTGACCTCGGTCCCAGTACTAATGAGGTCGACCAGAATCACAACAATCACACTACCGGTAATGCCCACTCTCCACCTTCCCAACAAGACATTCCAACCGGGCCGACAGCTATGGCAGAAGCCCGCAAAGAAAGGCGCAAAAGGCGCAAGGAACAACGCAAGGCCCGCAAACAGGAGCAAAAGCTAGAGGCAAAAGCGGAAACGAAAGCTCACAAGAAAGCACAAAACGCCTCCCCAAGAGGTCACGCAGACAAAACTACAGCTACTATCAATACCCTGGTGGCAACAACTACCGGTATGCCCTCCGCTGGATCTGCAACGGCCATCGTGCAACCGACCGTTGAACGGTCACCATCCCCCGCGACTTCGTCTGCCGAATCCGAGAATTTTCTCCTAGATCGATTAGAGGATTCTTTGAATGTTAGAACTGACTAGACCTTGACGGATGTGTGATTTACATGCGTTCATTAGGGACATAATCTTCTAAATCATGCATGTTTAGTACATAGATAGACAGATATACTTGCTTGCACAATTTGATACCCACGAATGGAATAATATGGTTGCAATGGAGATCGTTCCAGTGACACAGCTATCAGCGGTATCAATTTCATCCGTAGTATATAGTTAGGGTTAAAATCCGACTAAAAACTTGGTATGGTAACTACTCCCTATTTGATTCAAGTCCCCGTTGCAAGGATCGTTGTAGTGACATCGATAGATGGCTAAGACCAGATATCGTAACCAAAATTTATTGTATCACTCGTCTGCTACATAAATAGTGCAATCGCTCAAGAAACGTAACATGTTGCCTGTGTCTACAAAATACAGACTGCCTTATGACTGGCTAGATAAAGCACATCGGCCAGAAAATATAACAGCAAATCCCTAGCACTGCAATTTTCTCTGGAACATTGACATATTCAAGCACGGGCCAACAACATACAGTCTATACATTTTACTGGAGCTTACGGGTTTACAGAAAGTAATACTCGGATAAGATCAGAAGTGGTTGAGTGAGCACAAAGTACTATTCAGTGCTAAGATAGTAGCTACTGCATCATCCGACATCTCAATTCGTAAGCGTGACATGATCAAAGAGTTTTTATCAGAAAGCGTAAACCGTCATGGACAGTGTGGACATTAGACGGGATCTGGATCGGGCAGAGAGCAGCACGGGCAGCACAATGCAGAAAACCTGAACCGCAATGCGTGCTACAGCGTAGTACTCTCCAACCCTAGGGTATAAAGTGAAGTGAAATTTTTTTCAGGCCGAATGAGGAAGGCCACCCAACGATAAGAAATTTAGGACGTAACATCATGAGTTTGCCACGGGACCTAATGCACTAGCTTATTTGAAGACGTGGCCGTCAGCCCAGGGGTACTCCTTGCCGTCGACGGTGACAGGAACATCCCAAGCCCACATGTCATCAACATACTTGCGGTCCTCCTCCTTGGAGGGATCAAGCTTCTCGAAGTCGTAGCTCTCCCAGTCGGGGGCGACATCGAAGGCGGGCTTGAACTCCTGGCCACGGACCAGGAAGACACCGCGGATGATACAGTTGTAGTTGGTACCGTAGACAGACTGGGCACCGAACAGGTACTTGCGGGAAGCCTCAAGACGAGCGTGGAAACCACCGATCAGGTTGTTGGCCATGAAGGTGAGCTTGAGCTCTTCGTTGTACTTGTAGTCCACCTTCCACAGGGAGTACTCGTCGCTCTTCAAGTTCTGCCAGAACCAAGGGAGAGCAACGGGACGGGTGTCCTCGTTGGAGTAGGTACGCTTGAGCTCATCAAGGATAAACTCGGGCTTGCCGAGAGCCTCAAGCGGGTGCTTGGGCTTCTTCTGCTCACCCTCAGGCTTGGGCTCGGCAGCAGCAGCAGGAGCAGCCTCCTTCTTGGGCTTCTCCTCCTTCTTGGGAGGGGTGTACTTGATGACCTCGTCAACCAAAACGGGGTTCTCAACAACAGCCTTGAAGTAGGGCTGGTTGACGATGGTCTGGTACCAACGAGAGACAGCAGGGTTCTCAGAGCGGAACTGCTTGTCCAAAACGGTGGCGAAGGCACGGGTGAGGACAGAGGCAGCGAAGATATCAGCCAGAGTGATACGCTCGCCAACGAGGAAGGTGTTGGCAGTGAGGTGCTTCTCCAAAACGGAGATGTTGTTCAGGGCAGCCTTGGAAGCTTCCTCAACGTTCTTCTTGTTGTAGCCGTCCAAGCCCAAGAGGGGACGGTACCAAGCGCCGAAGCGGGGGAGAACCTCGAAGTTGACAAAGGACAACCAGCGGAGGATGGAAGCGTAGTCCTGCTTGGTCTTACCCAAGAGGGTGGTCTTCTCATTCTGGGAGGTCACTGAGTCACAATTAGCCATATTCAGGGGGAAAAACAACTCAAAAGCATCAAGAGCTTAGAAAAAGGCGCCGCGAAGAGATTGCCCAACACATGCGGGGTAATCAAAGAAATTTCAGAGTTTGGTTCATCAACACTGTTGTTCTGCCAGGGATAACTAGTTTATTGGAATAATATCGCTCATCATATAAAGCGGCGGGAAAAACGAGATAGAATCATCGAATATCATTTACAAAAGAAAAATACGTACCGTAGACAGCAATGGCAATGGACTCGGAGAGAGTGTAACCATTGGCACCCTCGAAAGCAGGGACCTTGCCGAGGGGGCTGAGCTTGAGGTACTCAGCAGACTTGTTGAACTCGGCGTTGGCGTTAGCCTCAGTCTCAACCAACTCGAGCTCAACGTCGTTGGCCTTAGCCGCGACGAGGGCAGCGATGGTGCGACCGTTGTTCTGTAGAGTCACCCATTAGCCGGACGTTCCCCAAGGTAACACCCACGACGATGAGATCGTCGGTAAAGCATCATCGGTTCTTATGATGCCCGAGAGGAAGTCGAGGAGAAAAAAATAAGATCACATACAGGCTGACCGTAAAGCTTTCCGAAGGCCATTGTCAAAGCTTTTGTCTTTGGAAGGACTGGGGGGAGGGAAAGAAGAAAGAAAGAAAAGGAGGGGAAGAGACAGCAGCTCGAGGGGTATAAGAACGAAATTTTGTGCGAATCAGACGAAGCGTCGGTGCCGGAGGAACGTTTGCTCGTCCACGTGATGCGTCCCCATCGAAAAACCTCAGGAAACAAGAATCGCCGGAGATGGTAAGTCGCATCTGGCCGGTGATCCCAAGTCCTCCTCGACTCCGCTTCTTCTCTCTTTTCCCCCTTTCACTCTCAGGTAAAGCTACCGCCAGCCGGAGGCAGCTATTCTATGGCCTGGCAGAGCCCCAATTGCATCGTGCATGCGATGCAGTCCGTCCGTCGGACAATTCAACTGCGGCCGTTCCTCCATGCTCCCAAGATCTCCCTTCGTTCGAACGTTACCCCGATCCTCTCACAACAACGGAGAGACACTCGTGGATATGCGACTGAGGTGCAAGCGGCCCCCGAGATTGATTTTGAAAAGTTCTATACCCAACCCGCCCGGATTGTTCCTGCCTCACCCGCCTACTTCTCCGGCAGCCCCAAGTTCATCGACCACCTGCTGAACCTGGAGACCATCCTAGCAAAATGGGCTTCATTACCGACCGTTGCTCCTAGTGAGGCTCCTCGTATGGCCTGGTTCAAACTGGCACAATTCCGCGACTTTGTCGGCGAACCTGTACCGACGAAGAAATACAAGAACCTTATCAAAATCTTACAACGACTAAATAGAATTGATCCGAAGATCATGCCGATTGAAGTGCGCGATACTCTGAAAACTTTTCTTCGTCCTGGAAATCCTTATGGGAACAAGCCGGCACCAGCGACGGTGGATGAGATGGGCCGAGCCCGTGGTCGAGGGAAGCGAAAGACATCCTCGGCAGTGGTCCATCTGGTTGAAGGAGAGGGAGACGTGATGGTCAACGGCAAGACCCTAGTTGAAGCGTTCCCTCGTCTACATGACCGAGAGAGTGCTACATGGCCTCTGAGGTGTACATCGAGACTGGACAAGTACAACGTGTGGGCTACTGCTCGCGGAGGAGGAGTTACTGGACAAGCAGAGGCCATTACGTTGGCCGTGGCACGGGCATTGTTGGTCCACGAGCCTGGACTGAAGCCTGTTCTGCGTAAAGGTGCGTATAATATGCGTGTTGCTGCCCGCTCATTGAATACATTGCTGACGGTCATCTTACAGCCGGTGTTATCACGGTGGATGCGCGTCGTGTGGAGAGGAAGAAGCCTGGTCATGTCAAGGCCCGCAAGATGCCCACCTGGGTCAAGAGGTGAAGCAGGCCTATCCCCTGTTGTCTCGGGAGCTTCTTTTCTTCTTTCTCATTCTTCTCCTTGCTGTATTATTCCACTTTCCTTGTGACCCTCGACGATGTATATTTTGTATTGCACGCATCTCTTCAGATGTCATGGCGGTCGTTTCAAGATACGACACTGCATGGTCTCGGCGACAAGCATGTACCCTTAGCTATTGGCGTTAATTCGTCCGATTCAATTGAACTACTGGACAAGTGATACTGTTGCACAGAGCATCCACACAGCTATTGGATGACCAAGGAAGAACGCCACTGGATCAGCGTGTTTCAGATTCTGGTCGGCTCGGCAGCCGTGCCAAGTCGAACACGACCACCAGGTTCTGTAGCACAGTGGAAGAACTACCTTGCGTCATACAACGAATTATTCAGAACATAGAGCGCAAGCCCGGATGAACATGAAAGGCGAAAGCTGCATGAACCATCCCAAGGCAGCCGGTCTCGTCCTCTCTATCGGTCAGATATGGCCCGTTGGGCACTGACGGAGGTTTGTTACACAATCGAGCCCAAGTGCTGTAGATTCGGTGCACTATCATGTGGCGGTAAGCCCGGCCAGTTGAGATTTAGTTTCAAAAGGTGTTCGTCTGATGATGTCGGACGAATACGGCCCGGGCGTAGGTGCACATTGCAGACATAGGGGTATGCCGGCATTTATCGAATCTGATTAGTGTAGTTACACAGAGCCTGCACCAACTCCGGTGAATGAAGCAATCCGGACCATGGACGACCGAATCAGTTGTTGCGGATGCGCTCCATTCGTTGCGGATCAGAGCTGTCTCGACTGCAGGGTTGAACCTTTGATCCAGGGTGACTCTTCTGGGAGGCACATCTATCGGCAACAGGCAGGCGACCGAACAGCTCCCCTGCCACGCATGTACTGAGCACAGACAATAATTCGTAGCCAAGCATGGGAGCTGACATTCATGTTACTCGGACGACTCAGCCGTCACTCTGCCACGCTGTAGACGCGGGAAAGCCAGGTGTGGTGCAGCTTGCGCTCACACCAAGTCTCCAATCTTTCCAGAGAGCGATACAGCGTGAGTGTATGATTTACTTACAGCATCACCAGTCACTGTGTCAAAGCGTCATGATAAACAGGGCCGGAAATCCTTTTGATTGGGATACGGTCCGAGTTTGTAAATACCGACAGGCGCCAAATCAGAACAGCTTGTCTGGTCTGACGCCGGAATAAGGCATCGTGAGATACACTGGCAGATAAATTATGGGGTTGGTGATCATTCAACTAAGGTCATAAAGGCCTCTAGGACTAGTACCACTAGCATTGGAGAGATCTGCTGCGCAAGCAGGAATTTGAAGAATGGTAGAAATCTAGAACATAAGATAGGTTTATAGAAGCGACAGGGCTGTTGCCACGGTTTTGAGAACGGTTCGAACAATCGTTGGCCAAGTCTGGGGTAATAAACAATTTCCTATTGTACCTGCTCGTCAGCAACGACAGGGTTGCAGGCGTGACGTCCATTGATCCCGAACAATAGGTGCATTCTGAAGTACTAAGACGGGGATCTTCCCTGGAGTTCATCAAACACGAGTGGTGGGCGAACGGTTTCCCAAAGAATGACGGAGCAGCCGGGATGGTAGTACGTACAAGACTTCATGCACCGTAGCTTATGAAGAAGTAGTAGTCATGTGCTCCGGGGCCGTCGAATTGGAAGGAGCCGCTGAATTTTCAAGGTTACGTGCAGTAGACCTTGTATAGTATACTACTGTACGACCTGATACTGTAGTTATAACATATTTCAGATAGGGTCATATATACATACATACATACATATATGTAGGTAGGTATGTACATAGTAGACACATGCGGAGAGACGGTCAAGTTTCACTATCGTCCAGCTCGAATGACAATTTTCCGTCCCATTGCTTGTCCATACATTGTCGCTTACCGGAAGCAGTGGGGGTCATGGGATCCCAGCTGTTGAACACTTGCGCGATAACCGCATCGTGACAATGTACTAACTAGTATTTTAGTTCATTATTTCTTATTTATTTATTTATTTTTTTTTTGGGGCCACGGGGACCAGGTCTTGGCCAATTATTGAATTAAATGTCCGAAGAAAACAAGGACGAACGAGTCAGTTACTGCCTGCCTTGGAAAGATAACAATACCTAATGATAAACGACTTCCCCGGTGGGTAATACTACTAGTAGTATCATCTACTGTCGGTACGGCGTGTATCGGATGTGAATTGGGGCAGCCAACTTGGGAGGGGGCAAAGGAGGATGACCCGTACACGACTAATTCAGACTAAATATGTCCATCTAAATTTATCTATCCATTTCCAAAAGCCCGGCCGATCCCGATCATAAATAAATATCCACCGGAAATGTTCCGTATAGATCCACTGGTGCAGTCAACATGACGGACATAAGTACTCCGTACATCATACCTACATGGGCACGAGCTGGATGGAGCCAAATCCACCGTGGGGTCCGAGGATGATTTGAATCAACTGGTATGGCCCAATACAATTGACGGATTTATAAAAGCGTCCATTATGAACTCCGTTAGCGTGAGTAGGGGACCACGCCTCATTTTGGTTGGTTTTTTTTCTTTTTTTTTTTTGAAACCATTCAAGGCTGACGAGGGATATACCGCGCTCCAGTCGTAGTATCTCAAATAAATTAACCCATAATATAGCACCGGTCTCGGAATACTTTGCGAGGTCTTCGAAGTAGGAGTAGTTCCGCATGGAGCTACTTAGAATGAGGGCAAGGCACATGACAAGCCATGGTAAGATTGTTACTCCCGTTACGGAATGGACGCATATACATATCTACAAATACAAACGTACTTACAATCAATCAATCCCAAAGAGGAAGAAGAAGAGAAGCAAAAAAACATAAAAAATCAAGAAAATAAAAACTCAACAGACACCGAGAGCAAGGCAATGGTAGGAGTGACCTTGGCCATTAGTTTGCTCTCGAGTGGATATTATAGGGTAAGAAAAGGTCAAGATTCTCCCCTACGCGGAGCAATGTCTATTTGCAGATCGGCCCCTGGTCCCTCTGTTCCGATCCATTGGTCCACCTGGTGCGCACGACCTTTCCCAGCAGTGCGGAAGGTGTGAGACTATAGGCTTTAGTCAGGGACTATGAGCAAGAGCGTATGTACGTGTCTGAATTGGGATGGAGATCAATCTCTACATCAACTTGCAGTATACCAATGCACGATACGATCTGGAAGGATGCGTCTCCTTCTCGATCATATCAAGGGTTTGTATTATTACTCTCGACTATTATATTGATTGGAGAGAGAGCTTAATGCCCTCATTTTCTAAGAGGACCATCTATTCTTTTACCAACTTTCCATGACAGTTCGTCCTCTGCCCAGAAAAAAAAAAAAAAAAAAAAGAAAAGACTGTCAATGCACGCTAACTCGTAGTGTTGTTGATACCATTTCCATGGGTCCTGTCAACCCTTTAGCCCTCCCGAATTCGCGGTTCTTCCCGCAACCAAAAAGACAATTTTGTTTTTGTTTTTTTTTTTTTTTCACTGATTTGGTAACGAAATATCTAATAGTAATAAAATAATTCACGGTTCATTGACTGCCACCGATCCTTTCGCCTCACTCTGAGATTTCGATTTCCTCTTTTCTCCTTTTCTTTTTCGATTTTTTTGCCCCCCTTGGGTTTTGTCAGCTTTCCCACCAAACTCACAAACTTGTTCCGATAGTATGGTTCGTCAATCGCTCACGATCATCCAACAACATCATCATATAACCTTTCGGAAACCCACTTGGGGATACCGGTGTCCCGGGGCTCCAGGACATTGGACAGAGGGGAATTTGGAATGATTGATGGGCATTAGGTTAGCTTGATGGGGCTAATTTGGTCCCATGGAACTGGTCACCAACCTTATCGGGCCCAAAGGCGCAAGGCACTAAGCAAAAGGTCCCAGAGAATTAGAATCCTAGAGGTCCCAGGAGCCTTGCTGCTGGATCCTCTTTCCCTCATCCTCAGCCAAGATCTCCGATTAGCTCCGCCTTCCTGCCCATGTGGAAAGGCATTAGGCTTTTTTTTCCCTCACTTATTTCTTTTTTTTTAAGAAAATTCCCGGGCTGTACCTCGTACACTTTCGTAATGATGATGCTGGTGAGAAACATAGTGCATGAGGTGGAGACGCCGATGGATGTGCTATATCCACCACTTTCCAGCTGAATGGCCCGTCAAAAATAATGAACGATCAGGGGAAATGGGAAAGAGATCCGGTTGCCCCAGTCGGCAGAGGGGCATTCGATGTGATGAGAAAGGACATGAGAGATCCTATACCATCCGAGGCACTAAAATGAAGCTCATACCGTGAGTCCCATGATGACGCTTGGAGACTAAGGCGAAGGAAAGGAAAAAAAAAAGAAAAGAAAAGAAAAGAAAAGAAAAATGAAATTCCCAGTCAGTCACTCGCATTTGGAGTCCATTTTAGGCTTCTTTTCTTTTTCTTTCCTCACACACTCACTTAATTTCCCTCCCCCTCCAAGCTAGGATTTTCTTTTTTTTCTTTCCTTTCTATTATTTGCTTTTCTTTTTCTTTAGCTTCCTGGATGAGAAAGGCCCCCTCTTTCCTCTTTCCTCTTTCTTCTTTCCTTGCTTTTTTTTTTTTTTTTTTTGAATTGATTATTTATAATTATTTTTTTATGTATTTTAATTTCCGTTTAGAGACTCTCCCCGCGAGGAATCCACACACCGCGTAAAACGAGTTGGACGAGAAGATGATACTGACGCCTCCGCGTGCCATTGTCTGCTTGCCCTCGATCCCGGCGAGTTGATCGTCCAGCCGCAGTGTCTCTGGATAATTTCCCTGGAGAACAAACTGGATTCTCCCAGCGGTCAGGTTGGGGGAGGGCCGTATAAGTAATCGGAGACTCCCATCCATGCCCTTCAGGTTCCCCCACTCTCCCCTCTTCCTTGTTGGTGATGATTGTTTCCCAATAGAAATTTGGGCTGCAATTCGGAGCATAAGTTATTGGATCTGACGGTCTTTGCTAGAAGCAATCCCGAACCCATAAACCTTTCTTCTTATCTGGAACACTTTGGATTGTATTTATTTTTCTTCTTCTTTTTTTTTACAAAAAAAAAAAACAACCCCCCTCTAATTTTTCTTACCCCCTTTTCGTTGATCAGAGTCCTACCCAAGGTTCCTCTTCTTTCTATCTCCATAGATTTCTCTTCAAGAGTTGTTGTGCGCCCCGAGTTTAATTTGTCCGCGCATTTGCCGTTGGCGTTCGTTTGAGTTTGATACCCTGCAAGGTGCGCAAGTAGTTTAAATCTTTCCCTTGTTCCCCTGCGCAGGTTTCTTATTCATTTGTCTCCCTCTGCGAAGTCCATCGATGGCTGACTTTTCCTTGTGACGGTGTCTAGACTTGAGTGTGCGCTGGTAGTAACCGAGTTCTTGTACAAAGTGAGACCGTGAGACCGTGAGACCTTTGCGCGCTTAACTGGCGAGGTTGGTTGGCTTAGATCTCGATCCTTGTTGGGTTAATAAGAAAAAACTCCCCCCTGAAAGCGGGAAAAAGAAGCAAGACGAGGGAAGGAAAGAAAAATCAAAAAGACAAAAAAGAAAAAAAAAAATCTCAAGAAGAGACAAGAGACACAGGATTGATACAACCAAGAACAAGGCGCAAATCCGTTCCTTCACCTCCCGCCAAGCTGGCATTGTACGCGAGCCCTCCCCTTTCCCCTCCGGCGCATTGGTCCCTTGACGTCGATCCACCGTGCAGGGACTCTCTGTGGGACCGGTTGGGTGGTATGGATGGTGATACCCGGCGCATGAAGCAGTATGATCAACCTCGCTTTGCGACAAGGCCGGGAATGTCCCGTCGTGCAGTTGCAGGAACGGACCGATACAGACAATCCGGCTTACAATCAGCACGTGGAGATGCACTGTCACAAGCAGCGGGACGGCCACGAATGCCGACGTACTTGGACTATGGATACACAGACCCGACCTTTCATGGCGGTTCGTTGCAGGGGGACGAATTGCAACCGTACCCGTCATTGCGCGACCAACAACAGCGCCAACCGCAACCGCAGCAACACCAACTACAACAGCCCTTCGCTCCTCCCTATGAGCCCGAGATGGTCTACGGCATCAGCCCGCAGGGTCCTGCGCAGGCCCCTTATGAGGTCGTGACACCATACTCAGCCCGGCCGTCTGCAACCATCGATGACCTCTCCGGTCAATTTCCCGTTCCACAGTATTTCCCTCCAAACGAACCGACTGGTGTTCCGACTGTCGGTGTGCCTTACCTAACCTCTGTCCCTACTTATAACCAGCCAGGTCCCATTGGACGCCCAACCGGCTCCCAGCCCTTTCCCACAACCATGACCGACATGCCTCCCGGGGGAACAGCCGGACGCTTTGACTTGTCATCGTCACAGCAGCAACCGCAACAAGCCTCGTCCCAGCTCGTATCGGAGCCAACGACCTTGACGGATGCATACGGTCAGTTTCAACGCGCGCTGCGAGGTACTTTGGACAATGCGCGCACTGGCCGATTGGAGGAGGCCAGTCGATCCCTTTTGGAAATCTCCGAGTGGCTTGTGACCAATGCCCGGGATCTTGGTAGGTACATACAAACTTCCTCTCTCTCTCTCGCCGGACTCGCGTTCCAACCTTTCCCTTTCCTTTTCCCTTTCCATTATCTAGATCTGGGATTTATCTTATTCCGATCCTTACACCTCCTTCAAACCACATTGAGAGAACTGTAAAGGCTAATCTGAGCATCCGGGGCGGGCTGGATAAGTAGGCATTCTCCGCGATGATCAAGTGGTCTATACCGACCGACTGCAACTCTGGAATGATTTCAATCTTTGCTGGCTGGCGGTGTGTCAAAAACAGAAGGACATGTTGCAAGACATGCTGCGAACCCATCGCCAGCCGCCACATGCCACTCTCCTGAATGATGATGTGATGGATGCTTTAGGCAAGGAGCTGATCCAGCTGTGCGATCGCGTGGAACAGTTTGGCTTAGTGGACTATCAGATGGGAATCTGGGAAGAGGAGATCCTTGGTGGTAAGAAGTCCTCAGTCGGTCGCTTGACTGTTAGGATATGTCTAGATTTGCTAATAGTGAATGTCCAGTCTTGGGCCAATGTCTTGATCTCTATGAAAGCCTACCGGAGGTGCTTCGCGCCCACATGAGCACTGCGCCTGCTATTGCTGGACCTCGATCGTGAGGATCCTTCCTGCCGGGCTATAATGGAGGCTGTAATGACGCGCTGCGCCTAGTACGATCTAACGCAGGGCCTAAATTAGGCCCTGGAAGGTCGGCGACCATCCCGAGCTATCGACTGCTAGATTGACTTTTCGGTGATACCTGCATGCGCCGGCCCTTTGTCGATCTTTTTCGACGTCGCGTCGCCTTCCCTTCCCTTTTCATGTGGCGGAATCGAGATGAATGCGATTCATGAGGTCCACACTATTATTTTTTCACTCGGGGCTATTTGGAATTCCCGATCGCGAATGCCCCACCACTCGCGCTCTTCATGGCCTGCGGGATGCACTCATTCCCCCAGGACTCTGAAGGCGAAGGATGAATGAACGAAAAGAAAAGAAATAAGGAGTTCCGGGTCTTTCTGGCACGGTGTTTGATTGGATGTACATATATACCACGGGTTTGCATTATGATTGGTGTAAAAGGTTGGCATCGGAGCACTTCGATTGTTATGGTTAAATACGGAGCTATGCTATAGAACGGATTGGATTTTCCTACAGTCCACCAGGCGGACTACTTTTAATGCCTGAAGACACACAAACAAAAGAAAAGAAAAGGAGAGAGAGAGAGAGAGAGCCATTCACTTGAGATACCAAAACTTCGTAGACAAGATTCTTTGTTTGTGATGCGCTGCTTCTGGTCGGGCTTCCCGTAACCGGCAATCCTGAATCTAGCCCTAACTCTCAACTCGATTTTCGATTATCATAGACTTCTTCAACATTGCTGGTAAATCCAGGGTATTCCTCGTTCGCCCTATCAGAGTGACCTCTTTGAAGCCCCTCCCGCCTACCTATTCACGGAGAAAGGGCATTACTCCGGTGCTAATTAGCACCCATTAGACATAGTGAACGCCCAAGAACCCCCCCCCCCCCCCCCGGGCAATGCACAAGCACCAACTGGTCTATAACCCATTCCTTTCCCTCTCCACCTTCGATAGATAAAATTGCCACCTCACCAGACGATTTACGTAGTAGCGCCTCTGACAACTGTACTCCATATCCTATAACCATAGCCAATCAGTTAAAATCGACGCCGTCACCGAAAAGGTAATCTCAGGAGTTCGTCCCGAGCGGGCGGTACAGTAGCTAATGAACTCAGATCGCCAAACTATTGAGCGAAGGATCCCGCGATCGTCATCTGCGCCATGCCATGTCCATGAGACTCTCTCTCTCTCTCATCCCCAAACTACTAGATCTCCATACCGATCAGCTTCTCCGGGAGGGCGAGGTACTCCGTAATCCATTTGCGCAACTATTTCCTATTCAATCTACGTCGCCGCAGCCAACGCCACTTCAACTGAACCAGCCACACCCAATTTAATTTCCAGATCCTCCGGCCGAACTACTAGTAGTACTAGTACCCACGCGTCGGGTCTGGGATAGTACGTAGTCGTCTTCCTGCTATTGACCACATCCACGTGGAGGTGTCGATCTTCCTGTGTATCTTTCTTTCGCGTGATGGTTGTATTGCCTTGGAATAATCCTTCCACCTTGTTAATCGGAACCCGCACCTTGGCGCTTCTGCCCAACCGGGATACTATACTAGTATCAGAGGCTTTGATATATTGATTTTGGAAGATACCACCGTATACACCGTCATACTCAGTACTGGGTGTACTGTTCATACCAACAAACCTCCAACTAGACACCGAAAACCCCCAGAATAGCCCACAGGAGAGGAACAGCCCCCGAGTTGTCCATCCGATCTCCTGGGTTCGCATAGCCACTAGGACGAGTAGCGTGGCGCCGCGACAAGCCGAAAGCCCAGGGGGGGCGGGGGCGGGCGAAGACATCCCCCGATGCCCATTATGTGATATGTCGAAACTATATATGGGGAGATCTTTGGGAATGCGTCTAATGTAGAGGGATGTGACGGCCTCTACTTAGTAGTCGTTCCGTGAGGTGATGGGAACACACTACTAGGTTGAGGCCTGTTGTATTTTTCGCAGGTCGACTTTTTTTTGATTGGGAGCTCTTCACTGTTTGGGTTGGGGGACTGCAAGGATGTATTAACTATAAACTAACTACTACGTAGTAGAAATGTACCACCATTTTCAGTGGAGGCAAAAGTACCATCGTTCGCTTCGATCTCTAATTTAATTTACTTTTGCTGGAATCTTGGGGGTAGTGGATCGATTGGAATCCATTACGATTGGAGTGTATCCATGGGGAAGACTCCACTATTTACTTTGCTTGCAGCGAATGACCGGTCGTTCTTCTAGGACTTGCAAAGTAAAAAAAAAGTGGAGTCGGTTTGATCCATTTGGCGCGATATAAATCTGATATGCCAGTCAAAAAGTACCCCAAGCCGAAAAGAGGGACAATTCATGTAGGAATCTTTGGTGGTCTTGAACTATATCCATCGTTGTCTGTATCTGTACTATGCACGTAGCATGTCTTAAACTACAAGTCGTCATCGCTATCATTATCATATCATGTCGACGAGATCCAATCGACCAACACGTGCCGGCGAGGTTGATAACAAAGAACAAGAAACTAAAACAAACCCATCCTCCGACGCTTAAATTTGGCCTACAAAAACGGTCAGCTTCATCGCTTCACAAAAGCCTCTCGGCAAGGAAAAAGGAAAGCAGGGGAACACGTACTCAGTGTCATACTCAAGCTGACATCCGTATTCTCCACCATATCCGTAAACTCCTCGAAGCTGATCTTTCCATCTTGGTCCTTATCCGCTTCCATGATGGTCTTGTCGACGATCTGCTGTAGCTGCACATCTTTCAGGTTGTTTCCCACCATCATCTTTAGTACGATGAACAGTTCTCCGTTCGAGATGTATCCGTCGCGATCGATATCGTAGACCTTGAATGCGAAGCGAAGCTTTTCTTCCTTGTTACCCTTAGACGAGAAGGCCGACAGACCCGAAACGAATTCTTGGAAGTCGACGTCACCGCCACCGTCTTCGTCGAAGATCGCGATCATTCTTTAATGAAGTGAGCTAGACCGTTCATTGTATACCTCCATATGGATAACCCCATGCGTACCTCGTTGCCAGCGGGTTGGATGACACCTGGGGAAGGGAGAGAAATTCATCGCGATCAATCGTACCCGAGCTGTCCTGTTGGATAAGAATGAGTATGCGCGCCTTCTTTACGCTTCACGACCGTATCGAACCTTATCCAGTTTCATGAATCGCTTGCGGAGTCGGTCAACCTCATCTCTGTCGACTGTTCGGAGATGGACGCGTCAGTGACATGGCAGAAAGACGAAGAGTACGAGAGCATTGAACCCACAGTTGGAAGCGGAGACGATGTTGTCAAAGAGTTGTGACGTTCCAACCGAGCCCCTCCGCCTCCGCGCATCGTACAGGGCGGCATTATTGGGTGCGGAGGAATGTTCCATGATGTTGTTGGTGGTCGGCTGCTGGGGTGAACGTTCGGGTACGCGGTCGGGGAGAATATAGGGGGCGTGGTGAGAGAGGGCGGAATACGGGCGACAAGTGCATTAACTAGAGAGAAATACAAAGGACAAGCAGTACCAGGGTAGAAATCGAGCCGGAGATCGGTGGATTGTGGAAGGTAATGATGCGGTGATCGCAACAATGATGGCATGCCAACGAGCACCCGTTCAAGACAATTTGATATCGGCCAGCCCCGCACTAACCGGAAACGGACAGGCAAGCGAACCCCTGAGGCCGTGCGCGCTCCAAAACAGGCGACCGGCGGGTGACATTGCAACGTCAACTCATCCGCCAGCGCGGTTACTACGAGATTTCAATCGTCGATATCTTCCCACTCCCATCAGATCTCATCACAAAATTACGACTACGTGATCTCGCATGACCAGGCCTATCGAATCATACTAATTTTATCCCCCTCGGCCCATGGTCCTTGCCATTTTTGTGCTCCCAAAGTTCGCATGACTAGGTACGGGGGAATGGGGAGGACGCGCCCTAAAAAGCTCACCTCCAAAGCCTCTATTCCCATAGTCAGGGAGCATGACATTGATGCCATCGAAGAAGAGGTCCAAAATGCCCTACAACAGGTTGAAACCGGTGTTGAGAAGGCCGAGGAGTCGGTACGTTGTCTCCCCGTCTAATTTTAGCCCATCCCTGCACATATCACGTGATATCATCCCGACGTCCACCCATCGTGAAAATTTCGCATCGTAGCCAAGAAGCCGCAAAACAGGGTCTGCTAACGCGGCTTTCTACAGGAATTCCATCTTCAAGCTGCCATAAATGCTAGTGCCCAAGGAAAAGTAAATGAGGCCCATATCCCGACCCCAGAGACCGTTCTCAGTAGTCTTCGATATGACGAGCTCTACCCTCCTCTCTTCTCGCAACCTGCGACGTACATCCGCTTCTCCTCCACTGTGGAGGACTGTTGCGGATGCCCGTATAACATGACCGAAGAGGATGATGTATTCCTCAAGATCATGAACGCAAAGCGGGATGCCGCTGACCGGTGCACCGAGGACCAATTCGAAGAAGTTATGCACTTCTTCGAGGAGACGGCGCAGACAAAGCAGCCGTTTGCAGCTGTAGACAATCCGCCGGTCCTGAGCTTTGCCGAAATCCAGGATGCGATGGATGCAGCCGTAGAGGAAAGCGTAAAGCGATTCGCCAAGGACGTATATGAGCATTGGAAGTCAACGAGGACTGACGCCGGAAACCGGTCACTCATGCCGAGCCTTAAGGTAAATTCCTTTCCTGTGGCCCACATGAGAATGGCGAAGACAGCCACGCTGACATGTCCATACAGTTCGAGACCGGGCAAGAAACCGATGACACAGATCCCTATGTCTGTTTCCGTAGACGCGAAGTCCGTCAGATTCGCAAGACTCGGGGCAGAGATGCTCAGAGTGCCGATAAGCTGAGGCGCCTGAGGAAGGAGCTGGAGGATGCTCGGCAATTAGTCGCTCTGGTGCGTCAGCGGGAGCTGGCGAGGAAGGAGATGCTTGCCATTGAACGGCAAGTGTTCTTGCAACGATCCGAAGTCAAGGAGATGAAGAGGAAACTCAATCTCAAGGACGATGATGAGGATCTCATCAACCAGAAGGTAAGACTCGCGTTTGCTCGCTTCTGCATCGTTCGGATACTGATCAGTAATAGCCCAAGAAGAAGCCAGCCGAAGCACCAGCTGTGCAGCGACCGGCGGTCCCTCAGCTCCGGATGCCGCCAAAGGCTGGCACCCAGGCTGCGGAGGACTTGCAGTTATTGGAGGATGTCCAGGCAGAAAAAGAAAACGAAATTCTGCGCGATATCAATCAGAACATCGCCAAGCATATCAAATGGAACGAGGGCTATGTAGACTTCACAAGGGCGCCCCTCTCGCCATCGCCTGAGAGGACTTTCCAGGCTGCTTTCCGCCCGGCAATCACTGCCCAGTTGCCGACACCACCATCCTCAGACTCTTCTGAGAACATGATGGACACGACCTTAGATAACCCAGGTTCACTGTCTCTCCGAGACAAGCTAGCACCTCAAACCATGGTGATGAGCGACGATACCAGCAGGATGCCCTCGTTTAGGCGACGCATCGGGCGTGGTGGTCGTTTGTTTATCGATCGTCGAAACCTTGTTTCGCGTTGTAGAGTGGAGCTGGATCCCTGGAAGGCCGATCGCTTCAAGTATGATCAGGAAGATTCAGACGAAGAGCTCGACTTTGAACGAGACCAGTTTGACATCCACATCATGCAGCACCGAGCCATCATGATGTCGAAGGCTCGAGACCAAGCCGCGGCAGCAGCTCAGGCGCATGCGCAGGCGCAAGCCCAGGCTCAGGCTCAAGCACAGCGGCGATTGCAAGCTGACCAAACGGCCAACAATCCGGGGCAAACCGTGGGATCCAACCCTGGGCCTGGTGCCATTGCCCCCACACCTGAGACTTGAGCTGGACTCTGTTCTTCTACCCCCTCACTCAAATCTTCTTAATTTCCCACACCCATATGTTGCATTTGGCAGGCGTTGCTCTTTCTTCCCCATTTTTCAACCCCCACTGTAGTTTTACTCCCGACGCTTCAAGCTGTCTTTGTTTTCAACACCCTTTTTAACATCAGTTGCCTGAACGCCGCGACGTTTTCGAAAATTTCAGGATAATGTCGCAGACGGATGCTTTTTCATGACCTGACCCTGGGATTATGCCATGTTAGCGTACATATTGTTTCTCTCTTTTCTTTTATTCTCCCAGATGATCAGTCGATAGAGACTTGTACGGATAGCGAAGCTATGAGGTCAGCAACGAAAAAAAAAAAATAACAATTAATATCACTTGTAACAAAAGAGAAACTTTTCTTATCCATGCAGAATATACAACGCCTTGCAGATCGGTGGATCAAGTCCTCTGGGCCTTTGTTCTCCTCGAGGCATCACTGTCGCCGTTGGCGGCTCGCTTTGAGGTCGTGCTTCCCTCTGAGTTAGCGATGAGCATATCGGACAAAGCTTGCAGGATTTCCTTCTCCCCAATCCGAACCTGGATTGCCATTTTTTGTCGTCGTGCAGAGTCTTCCAAGGGGGTTGTAGCCTCCAACTGGTTCAATTGCGCCAGCAGTTCTTTGTCCTGTGCAAGACTCGTTGTGTACTGGGCTTGCTTCGATTGAACAGCCTTTAACAAAAGCGTTACTTCCTCGCGACCAAACGAGGGCTTTGGGGGTCTGTTCTTTGAAACTTGCTGCTTCAGCTCGTCACTCGACATGCACAGCGTCTTAGTCAACAGGATCAGTTCGTCTGGAAGAACACCTGCCAAATCATCGTCTAACAGTCTCGGAATGTCATAACCGTCATCAAGGACTTCCAAGTCCTCAAGGAATTGGAGCTACAACCGCTGATCAGCACTGTATCTCAGGAGGTTATAAAACGAGAATGAGAGCATATACCGCAGGTTGGTTCTCAATATCAGCATTTTCAAGGCCCGCGGCCTGGCAGATAAGCTCCAGTGACAGCTCAACTACATCGTAAGGAGCATAGTTATCGGTCACATAGCCGTACCTCCTCAGAAGGTCCGCACGGGGGATCTCTCCGTAGTCATTGAAAATCTCAGCCCCTACACTAATAGGCTTAATAGCCTTCATTACAAGACCGTTCTCTTCTTGGAAAAGACGAGCCTTCATCTGAATGAGCGCCCATGACTTGCTAAACGCGAAGGGGGAGCACTCACATTATTCTGGTCTGCATCGGCGTTCAGCAAATCTGCCAAGGGAACCATGCCCTTGGACAATTGTTCCTCGTCATCAGTCATATATCCGCTTTCATCATCTCCTTCATTATCCTCATCTTCGGGCTTCTCAATATCGAAGGCGTAAGCCATGATAAGAGATCCCATCATATGAGCGAGGTTCAAGAGGGCTTGAGTGCCAGCATCGCCATCATACGATGCTAGACCATCCACCGGCGGAAAGAGGGATGGATTCGCTCTCACAATAGGAGCAATCATTTCAAGAATGGATTCTTCCGCGCCTTCTTTGCCAATTCTATCAACGATTGCGCTGCCCTGAAGCTCATGGAGCTCTGAAGGCGACCAGAACATTAGGGTATCAAATTTTCGAGGAAGGACCTTGAAGTATGATGACCAGGCCGATTTATCACCGAGAAGATACTCGTAGATCATGACCAGCATAAGGGACAGCCATGGCCCCAGCTCCTCCACATCCTGGGGGAGCAGATCCTTCAAGTTTGAATTCTGAGTTGAAAGGACGTGTTCGCGGGGAATCGTAAAAAGTTCTTCACCTTCGGCAATATCGGATTGCGCCACTAGTACATTGACGTGTTTCTATCAGAGATGGGATTCCACGAAATACGATTTAGGGAGCGGCGGAAAATGGAAATGGGCGAAATTCTTCTTGGAATGATCACGTACCGACACCTCTGCCCGCCGCTCTGGATCTCAAATCAGCGAGGCAAATCTTAGGGTTAACCTTCACCCCAGGCTTACCAGACAGCCAAGAGAGAAACTCGTCGGACTGAGACTGGAAATTCGCCGGATCGAGAAAATGGATTGTGGACGACATGGTGTCTTTGACGAGGAAGAGTAGTGGAGTAGGTAGAAGAGCACACCAAAGAAAAACGAGAATACAAGAACGAGAGAGAGCCCCACTCTTTCTCGGGCATACGGAGAAAAGGAACAGTCAAAGGAGAGACAGAAAGTAAGATCAGAGGATCGAGAGAACGCTAGAGAGAATAGGATGAGCGACGAAGTGAATCGTCCACCGTTGTGTGTGTGTGTGAAGGGACAGTCACTAAGTGGGTTGGTTTTGGGGGGAGGGTGGGTGAGCTTGTAGTTTAGTACGTAGTTCCATAGTAGACTTAGTTCGCCCGTACCGCTGGATGTATACCGTCGGATAAACGCTGCAGCGGATATTACCGCCCATCAAGCGCACCAATCGATAACGTTGCTGATAAAAAAAAAGATCAATTTTGCCCCTCCGTACTGGCTCATTCATATCAAAGAAACGAATTGCCTCATTGTAAACCCCCTCCACACAGTTCTGTTCTGCTTTGGGTTTCCTTTGATATTTAGAAATTACTGTTCGATTTAATTCACCCCCTCGATCATGATCGCTATCGGCCTGGAGGGCTCCGCCAACAAGCTTGGCGTGGGCATCATGCTGCATCCTGATAATGGCAAACCCCCGCAGGTACTCGCGAACATCCGTCACACCTATGTCTCTCCCCCGGGTGAGGGTTTCCTCCCCAAAGACACCGCTAGACATCATCGTTCGTGGGTGGTAAAGCTAGTGAAAAAAGCGCTTAAGGAAGCTCGTGTTTCCGTCCAGGATGTGGATTGTATTTGTTTCACCAAGGGCCCTGGCATGGGAGCTCCCCTCCAGAGCGTTGCGGTTGCGGCTCGGATGCTGAGCCTACTATGGGGCAAGGAATTGGTCGGTGTAAATCATTGTGTCGGACGTATGTATAGCCCTAATGCCTATTGTTATACCGCTTCTTCTAGTTCTCGCTCGTGCATAAACCTGTTACATACTTCTTTGGTGCCCATGGCGTTAACGTTACATAGATATTGAAATGGGTAGACTCATCACAGGCTCTACCAATCCAGTTGTACTCTATGTCTCCGGAGGAAACACACAAGTAATCGCATATAGCTCACAAAGGTACCGGATCTTCGGCGAAACTCTTGATATTGCAGTTGGTAACTGCTTGGACCGGTTCGCACGAACGCTACACATCTCCAATGACCCGGCCCCGGGATATAATATTGAACAATTGGCCAAAAAGGGCAAGCAATTAGTTGATCTACCATACACTGTAAAGGGGATGGATTGCTCCTTCTCTGGTATCTTAGCCGCAGTGGATGGTCTGGCCGCGACATATGGACTAGGTGGCGAAAGGAAGGACGATGAAAGCGATACCCCTCTATCTGATGCTGATGGCAATGGAAACCCCACCCGTGCGGACTTGTGCTTCTCACTCCAAGAGACTATCTTCTCTATGCTTGTTGAAACAACGGAACGCGCAATGGCGCACGTCGGCTCCAAAGAGGTTCTGATTGTCGGTGGTGTCGGGTGTAACGAGAGGTTACAGGAAATGATGGGGATCATGGCCCGCGACCGCGGAGGTAGCGTCCACGCCACAGATGAAAGATTCTGTATCGATAATGGAATCATGATCGCGCAGGCTGGCTTGCTCGCATACTCGACTGGATTCCGCACCCCGTTGAAGGACTCCACATGTACGCAACGGTTCCGAACGGATGATGTGTTTGTAAAGTGGAGGGATTGATCTGCCGGTTTATCTATTGCATCCCCATTTGCTGAATAAAACAGACTTACGAAGTACCATGAAGATGTTGATGTCCACGTGTTTTACCGCTTCTTTCCGTGGCCATGGAGCCCGCTGTAATGCAGGAATTGCAGTATAGTGTTGTTGGACTTGTATTTGAAGATTATAGATTACTATGGGAGCACCGGCTTTCTCCTCAGACAATGATCCAGGGCGAAGTAATGGTATGTAATTCATAGATGACCCAGTATCACTCTAGACCGTATTGGACCTGATCAATGCTAGCATACATTAGGCATTTGAGGCATGACCAAGTAGCATTGATGCACATACGACACAGTCGTATGACGAGCAGAAAGGCAAAAGCCAAGACATGTTGTCAAAGTTCTTATCGCTAATGATGCAACCCAAGAAACTCCGGAAGGAATGGTGATTCAGAGCGCCTTCAATGCAATGGGTAGTCAAACAACTCCTGCCGAATATTCAGCCCATTACCAAGTACTTAAAAGGCTATATGCTTGGCCTCGATGTATTTGCGTTTGTCGGTAAAAGAAAACGGGGTTAAAAAGGGGAGACATCCCATAGTCGTGGACAGACATTTAGTCCAAGGATATATTGAATTTGTTGGAAAACATTCCTCGGGTGTTTCAAACACAAATTGGAGCACGGAGCCAGCAGAGATTCATTAGGCGAAGAACGATTAACAAGGTCTTGTCTAACTAAGGAGTAATGTACCGCTCCTGACCGAACAGGGGATATGCAGCGATGTCTTGTGTGTTTATGTCTATCCCGCGATATCCCCTGTTGGCTTGTACAAAATTGTCGTTACGTACTGTGGTTGCACGTCTTAGTAACCTAGCCACCAGAGATTGTTCGATTGTAGTGACTTACCTTGCGCTTGTATCTGGTTGTTGCACTGGTAGCAAGAACACCATTTTTGATACTGCTTGTCGCCAGATGATTCAGAACCGTATGGTTGGGATAATTCAGTACGCTGCTATCGTCCTTCATCGGCGTAGTGCCGTTTAATATCGACTTCCCTAGGAACAGGGGTAGACTTGGCGGCGTAGGTGCATCGCCAATCACATTGACAGCTTGTTGGTAAGCTGGGCTCTCTTGTGTTTCATCTTCTCTGTCCAAGTCAACAAGGAACTGCGGGATTATACGACGGAAGTCTCCTTGGGGGATCTCTTCCAGCTCGTCCGGTTGATCTTCAACGGCTGATCCGGATCCAACCTGCTCAGACCCAACTCGGGTGGGCAGGACTTGCGGAGGGTGGACTCCGGGAGGAACGTTGCTTTGAGATGTTTTATCGCTCCCGCTTCGTGACCGATTAGTGTCGTCGGCGCTTATTTCGATGTAATTAACGAGATGATTGGTAAAGTCTACTGCAGTGGGAAGACTGTCTGCCGCGCGCATCTCGCCGTCTACGATGAATTTTAAGTGGTGGGTTCCAGGGCGGAGATTTAACCTGGTTGACATAACACCCGGGTTACTTTCACTGCTTAGTTTGTGTTGCGTTAGCGGTGGAGCTTCATAGAGGCTAAATGATGTGGTCTTGCGGGCCCAATAACAGGCGATGGAAACGGATATTACCAATAGCATTGCATACCTTCTGTGTAGACGAAACTTTTTCTCCCAGTTGACAAAAGTTCCGGTGACATAAACCTTGTCGCCAGGAGCAGTCCATTCTATAATTGTGGGAACAGGCCTGCCTACACCACTGCTTGTATACGGCTCCAGCTCTTCCAATACTTCTTCATCTTCAACGGCGGTATGGCCTAAATTCGAATCTCCCTGACCTGCCTGTCCATCGAGTAATCGATCCGAGGGAGGTGACCCCATGTAAGGTGAGCCTGGCGTCGCCATGGCATCACCAATCGGTAGAGGCAATCGAGGTGGCCGCTGGAGATGTGCAGATGCGCTGTAGTAGGCATTGTGAGGTGGACCGGAAGGCGCTACGGATGTATAGTGATCATGCCTAGCGCTAGTTCGGGAAGTTGGCACCTGGACGGGGTTTGATGGATCGGGGGAGGGTATTTCTTTGTGGTGAGAGTCTGTTTTCTTAGTCTCAGTCGCATGCCGCGTCGCTGAGTCTGGAGCATTGCGCGATTGAAGACGCTGTTGAATCGATGCCTGATTTTGCGAAGCTGAATGGCCAGTTGCAGTCTCTTTGGAGGCAGAGGGATCCGCGGCAGTGGCTTTTGCTGTGCCTGATGGAGCATTGAGCGACGGCCGACGAGTTACTTTCTTGTCACCCGTAGAACCCGCATGGGTCGAGTGGCCCGAAGTCGACGGGGCATCTCCGGCGGGGCCTTTGGAAGGGTTATTACCCATTACAGGCGGAGAAAAACGAAGACGTGGGGGACAGATATAGATGAACGAGGGGGAGGAGCGGAAGGAAGTCGAGACGAGATGGACGTTATGTAGATCGGGTCGCTAGCATCAGACCGCGGTCCTCGACCGGCAATGGGGGGAACACAGACTGGCAAAGCAAACTAGAAGGCCCCGGAAAAATATCAGGCGTGATTTAGAGTCCAAACGGTACTGGAAATGTAAATACAGTCCAAGTAAAAACGGAGCTGAACCTCGAGTGAAGTAGCGATGATGTCGATGTCGGCGACCCCAAAGTCTGGGCCAACTTGCCAATTAGGGCTTAGGGCTCCCCCCGGATGGTCGGCAGTTATCTCCGATCACCGGAAGTCGGCTGCAGTTATAGTACCAAGAACAAGGAATAGCCATCGTTAGTATTCCTCGCATTCCTATGCCATATAGCTCAACAGTAGTGTCTTGAAGTACAAGTCTTACATCTGAGCTCGCGTGAAACCGGAACAGGTCAACAGCTCGTTCAGACAAGAGTTCTTATCTACACGATTCTGCCGGAGACTACCGCCTATGGAAGCTTATGTATCTAGGAGGAATGAAAAGGATCAATTCACATCCATCAATCTTCTTTCCTATAATCTGGCATTGTCGCATAAAGCATTCTCATACATAATGAAGAACTCTCTTTGGTAGCTAAGAATATCTCACGGTGCATCAATGTCTGTGGTCTCAGCGATAACCGCAGTATCGCAATGGATACTCCTATATCCTGTTACCTTTCTCATATACTACGGATATCGAATACTGCGACTGTTGGCAACACCATTGGTGAAACTGGGACAATTCACCCTTCGCTGTGCCCTTCTGCCCTTCAGCTTAATCTTAAAATTTGAGGTACGGAAGTCATTGGATGGCGACTTGCATTAAATAACAATTTGCTTGGCTCCAATAGCTCAAAAGGGGATGGTTATTGACATTTCTTACAGGCTTTTCTGACCTTTGTCTTGGTAGCCATACTCACAGGAGTATCACTGGGGCTTTTATTGTACTATACGAGTTCCTTCATTGTGGAGGTTTTGAACCAGTCCCTGGGGCTAACGTACCCTTTACCTCGTCCATCCCAAGCTCATCCGACCCGCACCATCAAGGGGCCGAAGGGAAACATTCTGGAGAGAGGATATAGTCCACTCAACGAGTACTTGGCCGGCAGCAGTAGGCAAAACAGAAAGGCTGGGCTTCTGTCTTCCACCATCTTGGAGGAGGAAGAATCCAATCAGGATTCAAATGAAGATTTCTATGACTGACCAGGAGAGACAAGGATATGTCTATGTATCTTAACAGGCCTTTCGATTCTATGAAGTGTTTATAGATCACATCAATATGCAAGGTAGAATTAACATTTTGAGTTGGCAGTACTCCGTACTAATTCCTAGAACCTTAAAACAGTGGCAGAAGGCGGTATCGGAATTACCAAGCCTTATCGATAACAACTGGACCCTTTCCCCGCCGAGATGATAAATACCCAGTACCAGGCGGTCAAAAATACCACAATTTCCATGACGGAGCACACGTGGGTCCTCGCGCATGGATCAATAAACCCTGGAATTTTAGCTTGTCTTGAGTTAAATTAAATCGTGTTTCCTCATGACTTCGTATTCTGATCGCACACCTCTTGAGTCCTCGAATTCTTCTCGACGTCCTCTCTTGTGTGTCCTTCGTCCCGGTCTCCCTGAATCGATTATATCATCAGTCATCATCACATACTCGCGGTGATCTGTCTCCGATGCGCTGACGGGCTCTCCCTCCAATACGTCACCTTGCAGCGATTTTCCGTTTCCCCCCTCCTGAAAAAAAACAACGATTATAGGAAGAGTTTGAAAATCGACGGCGACGATTGCTCCAGATCTCAGGGGAAAGGTTCTCGACCACAGAGGAAAGGAGAATAATCAAGTCACACGCAGACCGTTGAGAGAAGTGGACATAGGAAGTAGACAAGGAGAGGGAGAGGTGAAATGATTTTCCCTCGACCCTTTTCGCGGGTGCGAACATTGCTGTTAGCGGCTGCACTCGCAGCTTTCGTCACATATTCCTTCTTGCGCTGGCAGCGCATCTTCTATGCAGAACAAGCGCAATCCGCAGTTACAAAGGCAACACCATCCAACGAACCGGCCGTAGTATTGACTAAGCCGGAAGGTCATATCAGCTTCTGGCGTCAATTTCAGCCTCTTCTGGCTACCTACCAGCCAAAATGTGAACCGCCACTGCGACTGGAAATGGCGCCGTCTGTTAGGTTCGAGCAAGCGAGCCCTGACTTCCGGCCCGAGGTACTGGACATGCTGGACGATCACGTTGAAACCATGAAGCAAGCTCATACTGGGTTCGTCGAGGAGATTAAGGCGAAGCCACCCATGCTGCACTATGTCCCCAACACCAGAGGGTTAGTTTCAACCGCAGGCGGCGAATACTTACCTGTGTTGGTCATCTCGCTACGGATGCTTCGGAGGACAGGCTCAGAACTGCCACTCGAAGTGTTCCTTGCCAATGAGGATGAGTATGAGAAATATATATGCGATGTGGTTCTTCCATCTCTCAATGCACGATGCGTGGTGCTTTCCCATATCTTGGATGCTGTTCCAAAGGTTATGGATATCCAGAAATACCAATTCAAACTGTTCGCCATGATGTTCTCTTCTTTTGAGGAAATCCTGTTCCTGGATGCCGACGCATTTCCCATACATCAACCAGAGATACTCTTCGTGAACGAACCTTTCAAGTCCAAGAAAATGGTTACGTGGCCAGACTTTTGGGCGACCACAGTCTCGCCATACTATTACGAGATATCATCCCAACCTATGCCTTCGAACACTATTCGGCAATCTAGCGAATCTGGTGAGGTGCTCCTTTCCAAGAAGGCCCACATGGAGACACTCCTTCTCAGTGTTTATTATAACTTCTGGGGCCCCGATTATTACTACCCACTTTTGTCTCAAGGTGCATCCGGCGAGGGTGACAAGGAAACATTCGTTGCAGCTGCTCTAGCTCTCGGAGAATCATACTATCAGGTTTCTGAGCCCATTTGCGCTATTGGTCACGGCACCGAGGGCGGCTTGGCTGGCTCCGCAATGGTCCAGTTTGACCCGGTTGAGGATTACGCCTTGACACAGAAAGGAGAATGGCGCGTTCATGGATCAAAAGCCCCTGCTCCCCGGGCCTTCTTCATCCATGCCAATTTCCCAAAATTCAACCCAGCTACAGTGTTCGAGAAGCAAGCCGTCAACCCGGCTTTCGCCGATGATGGTAGCTACACACGCGCATGGACCATTCCTCAAGAAGTGATTGGAAAATTTAGTACGGATGTCGAAAAGTATTTCTGGAAAGAAATTCTCTGGACAGGCTGCGAACTTGAGAATAAATTCAGTTCCTGGAAGGATCGCAAGGGCATCTGCGCGGGAGTGAAAAAGTACTGGAATGCAATATACATGGACAAGAAGACTCCAAGGATATAAGCAGGCTGGAACATCCTAGCTTGAGCGATATTTGTATTGGTGCCTCCTCCATGTCACTGCTGCGTATTTTGTCCGTGGTAAAAAAAAGCATCCCTATCACAGGATGTGTTCCAAGACATGTTAGTATTCATGCTGGCTATATGAACGCTGCATTTTGCCCTGGACAACATCGCAGCCATTGTCCTCACTTCCCGTCTTTCTTTTTTTTTTTCTTCTGTCGGGTCGAGTTGATAAGACCTTTCCGAGCATCTTGGGCGTGCAAACATTGCCTCGGAATGAACGTGTCATTTCGAAAAACCGGCACCACATCTATGAAACGTGATGGCACCTCAAAACGTACAAAGCGTGGGATACCTTCCGCGCAGCCCCCAGCTCCTCCAGCTTAGAAGCCTCGGGTCCCTTTGTGGAAGTTTTACGCATGGCATGCTAACTGGGCCTGCTAAGAAGCAAGTAAGCTTCAACGTGCCTAGGCTACCCAGGCATATACTAATGATTTTGTTAAATTTGTATGCATATATTAGCGTCAATTATTTGGATGGGTAGTACATACACTCTAGTATATTATTCAATAGTAACACCAGTTCTACGGCCTGTATATACGCAACAGTACTGCGATTTTACTATGCATGACTCACTGAGTCCTCGAAATTTAGCCAGGGCCTGACTCTTCTACATCTGAAAGAAGGTTTAGTATGGCAGGCAGGGCTATATGTATGAAGCTCTGGCGACTACATTTGCGCATCACAGGTAGAGGGGCGAATTCTGCAGTATCTTATTGTATCATGTTCTCTAGTCTTACATTATCTATATAATTTACAGGAGTTGACTTTTGCACGGATTATAATACATGTAGATCTAGACAGTGGCTCTCAGATCTTAAGGCTTGATCTCGAGACCGGCCTTATCAGCCTTCTTGATTGCCTCGTCGAACAGCTCCTTGCACCGCACTCGGCTGCCTAGTTTGGCGCACAGTAAGAAAGCACCGCTGAGTTTCCGGTGAAGACTGTAGGTCTCCTCCGGTGGAGGCGACAGGCGCTCCCGGATCATAACTGGAATAAAAGTACGGACTCTATCTGTGATAGTCTGGTTGCTGAAGTCATAGACATCCGGGGAAGAGCCCATGAACGGTTCGGCAAGAGTAGTGATGGAGGAGACATGTGCATTCACCATAGCCGACGACTCGTGACCCGTCAGGTAGCCCAGATCAATAGAGAGACGGTGGCAAGTCTCACGATCATTCCGGGAGGCAGCCACAAGCGTGCTAATGTATTTCGTGATAAATTCGGTGGGGTACTCGCGCGACGCGCCGAAATCAAGCAGTTCTAGGCGGTTGGTCTCTGCGTTATAGAGGAAGTTGGTCCAGTTCGGGTCCGTCTGCATGTATTTGAATTCAGTAATCTCTCGCAAACACAGGCGCATGATCTGTGTGCCGATCCAGTCACGCTGTTCTTGGGTGAAATCTTGGATCTTAGTAACGGCAACACCGTTCAAGCGCTCCATGGTCAAGACCTGTCTGCCCGAGGCCTCAGGGATGATTTCCGGTACCAGAAAGACCGGATCATCTTTGAGGAGTTCCTTAAAGTGCTTGCTGCATTCGGCTTCTCGGATGTAGTCACATTCCCAAGCAAGTTCTGTTCGGGCATTTGCGATAGTCTTATCCAGATACAGACCCTTCGGGAGAAGACGAGACGCAGTGAGTAGAATCGACAAGTTGTTCAGGTCCGAGTCGATAGAATCTGCCACGCCTGGGTATTGCACTTTGACAGCAACGGGTAGACCTGTCTTCTTTAGAACAGCTCCATGGACTTGACCGATAGAAGCTGCCGCCATTGGGACTTCATCAAAGGAGGAGAATAGATCCCGCCAGTTAGGCCCCAAGTTATCGGCTAGCACTTTGTCACGCTGAGAGGCCGGCATGTAGTCGGCTCGGTCTTGTACCCTTTGCAGGACAATTCCGATCGACTCGGGGAGCATCTTTGAGTCTAAATCAGTTAGTTGTGTCCTCACAGCACAGCAAAGGCGAAAGGCCTCTACAAACCTTGGAAGCTCAGCATCTGGCCTAATTTGAGGGCAGCGCCACGCATCTTCGAAAGCTTAGCGACGAGGCGTTCCATGTTCCCGGGACTGAACATGAGAGATCCAGCATCCGCGTCGTTGCTGCCAGTTACTCTCCGTAAACCCTCACCAACAGCTCCAAAAGCCATCGAAGTCGCCAGCCCACCATATTGCCATAGTCTCCCTAGACGTGATGACGGAACACGCGATTCTAACATTTTATAGGTGTCTGCTTGTTTTGCATCTGCTATTACCACTGGATCTGTCTGCTCAACGCTATTAGCATATACATCCATTCTTTCTAGGATAATGACACTACGAACCTGGGACTTGGCCGAGACTATATCATCTGCAATACTACTTCCAAGCTTCTCTATGTCATCCGTCTCGACTGAACGCGTGGATGACCCAGCAGGCTTGAGTTCGCCTCTGTTCATGTTCACATCACCTTTCCGAGAAATCGATTTGGCGACCTTAGGGCTACGAAAGAGTTGATTCATGACCTCGTCTGGGATTTCCTGCTCTTGTGCAGGCGATGCAACCTTCTCGGCATCCGCCGAGGAGTGAAATACATCCGTATTAATCTCATTCACTAAACCACTCTGAGTATCACTTGCAGCCTTGGGCAATTCCGTACCAGGACGTCCAGATAGCTCGGGCCCTGCCTTCTGGGACGGTTGGTGGAACACATCCTGCTGTGGGCTGACGTTCAAGTCACCCGACCTTTCATTTCCATTGTATTCCGCCTGTCGTCGTGATCTCCTTGCGTCGTCGGCAGAGACATTCGCCGCACGGCGAGACTCGGTCACGCTTTGGGTCTGAGCCCTCGGCGTCGATTCGGAAGGACTGGGTTCGTTGAATCGCCTGGCCAAAGCTGCGGCCGCTTGAGCGGTGAGAACAAGGCCGTCGGCTTGCTCTTTGATGCCCTTGGTGAGAGACGACGTTCTCGTAAACAAATCTAACTGGCGTTGGCGCACCGCCAGGTGTTTCGTCGCAACGGACTTGGCGACATTGAGAACTTGTATAGCGTCCAGAAGACGCCGTCCTGACATAGTATTGGATCCTAGAGTATCAGTGCAGTGTCGTCTCCAGTCTAACGAGCTCGCATGACGAACGGGCGCAATTTGTCATAGGTTGACCAAACCGTTTGCTTCTGGCTCGATACGAGAAGTCCCGAAGCCGGTCGCCGAGACCCATTTTTTTGCCACCGCTTACCGCCAAGATCGGGCGATTCCGATGCTTATCGGCGAACTAAATCGGCAATAGATAAGGAAGTGGCGGCCCTTCCTCTTGCGCTGCGTTTTCCCTTCATTCCCCCATCTTATTCCTCAACTATACAGCTACACGTCTCAATGCTCACGAAATCGAGTCCCCAGGCGCTGGAGAAAGAGATCTCTGATCTCGAATATCGTCTACAGAATGCCAAAGCTCGTCTAGCGGTGGCCTCCGGTCAGGAAACTGGCGGAGATTCATACTTGCCTCTTCCCCAGGGTATGCGAAAGGAGTTACCAGACATTGCGGCGACCACTGCTGACTTCTTTTTTCCAGATACGGTCCCATTACTTTCCAGTCATGCCTTATTTCTCCTATCAGACTCTGCCCTCCCACTGGGTTCATTTGCCTATTCTAGCGGTCTCGAATCTTATCTCGCGCATAATAAACCCCTCCCTCCAAAGGTCACACCTACCGCTTCCTTCCACCGCTTTTTAAAACTATCCATCACATCAATGGCAAGCACGTCAATACCATACGTTCTCGCAGCATACCGACATCCAGAAGACCTAGAAACATTGGATAACGATATGGATGCGTCCACGCCCTGTGTAGTGGCGCAGCGAGCGAGTATTGCGCAAGGGAGGGCTTTGATCGGTGTTTGGGAACGGGCATTCCGAGGGACGTATGCTTCTGGGCCATTCTTAGCAGGCGGCTCTGCTGCCAAGGCGGTCGAGGCCATTGAGGACTTCTCAGACGCCCTGAAGTCGTGTTCTGACACAGCAGATGACTTGGGTCCCAAGGGTCACTTTGCACCCTTGTGGGGTATCGTTTGCCTGGCTATGGGCATGGATGCTCGCCAGACAGCGTATGTGTTCATGTTGAACCATGCGAAGGCAGTCTTGAGTGCTGCGGTGCGCGCCTCCGTGATGGGGCCATATCAAGCACAGGCTATTTTAGCCAGTAGAGGCCTACAAGATATGATAATAGAACGGATAGACCGAGAGTGGGATACGCCCGTAGAAGATGCGGGTCAAGTTGTACCTCCATTAGACCTTTGGGTCGGACGGCATGAACTCTTATACAGCAGGATATTTAATTCATAATGAACATAATTCTATAGCAGCGTGCTGATTGTCTGTAGATTGTCTGTAGATTGTCATGGTTGACATGACTCTGATATGCTGCATTCTTCATCTCTTTCCTCATCCATAACTTCCAAGCTAATCCTACATCACATGCCCTGCTATCCCACCCAGATGCTACTCGGAACACTGCAGTGGGTATCCAAGAAAACCCCTTCCCAGAAGGGAACAAGGGAACAGAAAGTGAGAAATCAAATGAACAAGAAACCCCGAAGACCTGAGATCCGCCATTGACTGGCCAATATGCAAAGAGAAAAGAAACAAGTCGAACGCCGGCCCCTCTTGGAAACCCATCCTGCTAAACCGCATAGCAAAACACCGCACCGTAACCTTTTCCATGATTCAGGGGGGACAAAAGTGGATTCGCGAAAGGCAACGAAAAGGAAAGGGTAATAAAAGAGATAACTCGATAAGGGGGAATTTGGGAGAATAGAACGAAGAGGGTGTAAGAAACTATGGTACAAAAAGAAATTTGCGAAATTAGGCCAAGAACAAGGATCCTAAAGGGTAATGTGCATATAGTCATTATTTCCGAATGATCGGTTGCAATTCGGGCACTTTCGCGAACGAGAAGTAAGGCGCTCTTCGACGCAGTCTTTGCAAAAAACGTGGCCGCAGGTTTTGATTGCGGTATTCTTGAAGTTCCTGCGACAAACGGTACAAAGTGCTAGTGTCTATGTTCGAGTTAGCTGTGATATCCTGTAGGCAAGCGGAAAAGGTAGGTAATTTTACCCTCAGCATCTCATATTCCGATGATGAATTCCCTAGGCTCTTGTTCTTCCAATTATCCAGGCTTTTCTTGGTATCCGCAAGTGTTGCCTTCAGTCCTTCGATCTCCGTCTCGGCTTGCCGACAGGCACTGGAAGTGCTTGCCAGAGTTGCATCCTTGGACGTTGACAATGTCTTCAATTCATTAATCTGTCCTTTTAGGCCTTCTATGACGATGCCATTCTCTGCCAACTGTTGCTGTGTAGCGTGATGCTTGTTCATCATAGAGTTTAGTGCTTCCTTGGTCTCACTAACTTGCTTCTCCATGTTCGCCAACAATGAACGTGTAACGGCTTCGGATTCCTTCAACTGCGAAACAATATCTGAGCTCTTCGAGTTTTGCATTCTCAGGGTGCGCACTTCCAAGTCACGGGCCTCCTTGCTCTTCATTGCGGCGAAGTACTTTTGGTCGGCCTTGGATTTCTCGGCAGTCAAGCGCGCCACCTTTTCTTCCAACGCACTAAAATCTGTAACTTTCTGCGAAGCTAGCGTAGAGTATTTCTTGCAGGCAGTTTGCATGGAGGCTAATTCGGTGTTTAGCATGGCATATTGGCGTTCGAGTGCCTGGTACTTGGCGCGCAACTCCTCGAGTGGAACATCACTGGAATCTGCTTGTGTGGCTTTTGCGTTTTCCACCTGCAAACGAAGTCGCTCAACCTCCGACTCCAGAGAAGCAATCCGAGCATTTCCGGCCTCCGCGAGTTCCTGAACCTTCAGAATAGCTGTTTTTTCTTGTTCCTGGGCAGCCTTCCGCATCTGCTGATCGGCCAACAGTTCATCACGTGCATTCCGTATCCGCGCCAAATCCGTCTCGGCTCGCATCAACTGCGCTTCCTTCTCAGCAATAACATTTTGCGTTTCTTCGTCAACCTGATTGCGGTATGCAGTGCGTTCCGATCGTAGCTTCACAGATTCTTCGCGCAGTTGCACATTAGTTGCCTCCAAATGATTTATCCGTTTCACGACATCATCATATTGAGATCGCATGTGCTTAAATAGGTCCGTATGCGCATAGTCATCATCGGTAAGTTTTGAACGCTTTCACGGCAAGTCAGTTTCCAATGGCTTTCGGCCGGCCATAGGAGAAAGATGGCTTACCTTGATATTCAAATCTGTGATTTGGCTCAGTAAGCTGGCATTCTCGGCCTCCAGCTTCTGTAGCTGTTCTTTCTGCTTCTCCGAGATGGCTACTAGCTTATTGTGTGCCTCATCTGGTTCGGGGCCACGTTCGGCACTAGGTGTCGCACCATTCGAAACCGATTGTTCCTCTCGTTGACTGGACGCACTGTCACCCCCAGGTCGCTGGGGGCCTAGGATGTATTGTTTCTCCAGTTTGGCGACTGTCAAACTCCGTGCACGGTCCAACTTCTTCTCGGCTACCATGTACCGTAAGGAGGCTTCTTCTAGGCTCTCTTCTAATTGCTGCTTTTCAGATAAAGCTTTGTCGAGTTCAGCGATAGTAGCTTTCTCTTCTGCTAGTTTCTTGGCGAGCTGGCTCTGTAACTCAGATACTTCGGGTGGAGATTTTGGCGTATTCTTAACAAGGCGAGAGATAATGTCACGTATATCATTAGACCGTGATTTCAGATGTTTCTCAAAATTGTCGACATCATCGAATGATAAAGAACTTTGAAATATGGGCCGATCTCCCTTGATATCCTCCGCAGCGCCCAGGAGCAGTTTGACCTCATCAATCAACTTTTGGAACTGTTAGTTGGTGGCACCACCATGATATGGACCGTTGATCTACAGACCTGATTATACCATGTATCGATGACGCGTAGGTGTTCGTTATGGCGAGTAGCGGCTTTCGACATGTCCTTTAATTTAGCCTCCAGAGAGACCTTCTCACGCTTGTACTCCTGCATTTGGCGCCATATCGCATCCTTCTGGAATCGCTAATGTTGGTACCAAGAGTTAGTATTGAATACTGTAGCCAACGACGTGGTGGGCTCTGCGTTCGAGGGGTATCTAAGGCCCCCCCCTGGAATGATATAATCCCACTACGCCGGCTAACCCTAAACTCACCTCCAAGTCATCTTTCCATGGCATATCAGCATCTGGGTGAGGCTTGCTACCACCATTGACAGAAGTCGCTTGCTTCTTCAATGGTGGTGCCGAATCATTGTGATCAGACGTGGCAGCTCTCTTCCGGTCTTCCATCTTGACGAAACCGGACTCGGAGGATGCGACGGGGGTTGCTTCGGCGGCCGGCATCAGTGGCTAAAAAGGCATAAGGAGTTTAAAGCCGTCACCACTGAGCAGCAACGATATGGTAGTGTGAGCCGCAGCAGTATCCGACCGTAAGAAGAGGGTGACGTTGTTAGGATGGAGGGATGAAAGCAGTCAAGATAAGCAAGATTGGTTGAATCCAGGAGGATTTTCGGCCTGGGAATTAGTGCCGCCCTAGCGCCTCCCACGTGACTGCGCCCACTTTCCCCAGGAGTTCAAGGAGCGGCAGCATCTAGACTTTTGCTTGTATTATCATCTGTTTTCCTCGACTACGACTATTGTCAACTCAAGTCTTCGGACTAAAACACCTCCCCGGCTTCTCCTCTTTCCACCCCGCCTTCAGCTATGACTGACATCGGTGACAATGAAGTCCTTCTCGAGTTCTGCAATTAGTAAGTTATTTTGCGCTACTGCACCTTCTGTCAGCATCTTTCGTTATTTCTTTGCGCTAATGACCCTCAATGACAGATAAGTCGGGCAAGAAGTTCGCTCCCAAGGCGCCTGCCCGACGCGCCGCTCCAGCCCCGGCTGCAGCTCCTAGAAGACCTAGTGCCACTTCTCAGGCATCGGCTTCTCAAACTCCTCAGCCACCTACACAAACTGCAACTCCCGAACCTACTTCGACTGCCGAGCCTTCTCCTTCTCTTGAGACACCAGCTCCGGACACAGCGATTCCCCATGAAAAGGATGTGGTGCCAACACCGCCGGCGACAGCAACGGCCACAGCGACAGCGACACCCAAGGCTGCCGCTACGGCGATCTCAATTCCGCGTCCAAAGCGAAAGCCTTCTTTTTCCACATTCACCCTTTCACAGCCTGCTAACACAGCCCCTGCTGAGCCCACGCCACTACCTTCCATTGAAGTAGCGCCTGATGAATCGAGGGAGGGTCGAGCCCCAGCAGAAGAGTCTCGGGTCTCTGAGGCTCGAGTTATCGAGGAACCATCTCTGGTCGCTGAAACCCCGGCCGAGCCCCGGCCCTCCAAGCGTGCAAAGACAACTGCCGAACCTGCAACTCCAGCTTTGGAGCCTCGGCAGCCCACCGGGCCTCCTCAGCTAGCTACTCCGCCAGCTACACAGACCTCGACGAATGAGGAGACTACAGAGAGTCGGGATACCACAGAATCGCAGCCTCCCGCGGAACAGAACCGAAAGACAACAAAGTCAAGAAAACGGAAGCCGTCTAAAGATGTCAATGGTGGAGATGCGGCGACCAGGGCGAGAGAAAGGAAGCCTCGCGCTGCTCGTAAGAAGCGCGAACCGACCCCTGAAGGCTCTGAGGCTGTACAGATTGCGCCTGGTATTGTCAAGATGTCGGAACTGTGCAAAGACCTACGGACCGGGAAGATATCTAAGCGAGAAACTGAACTGCGCCAGATGGAGCTGGCTGAGCTGGAACGCAAGCAAAAAGCACAACAGGATGGGGAGGATACTGAGCAGACCCCTATCAAAGAGAACGAAAGTGCAGCGCCGCCAGCACTGGAAACAAGCAATTCAGGCGACCAAAAGTCACAGAACGGACCAGTCATGAGAATCGTGAATGGGGAGATTGTGCTCGATGCGGCATCGCTACAGGTCGACCGTCATGCAGATGCAGCAAGAAATGCCGGGGAACTGGAGGATGTTGTAGAAAACTCTCTTACCCGAAAAGTCAATCAGGCGTCATTTGGAAAGCGCTCCAAAACCGAATCTTGGGATGAAGAAATGACGGATTTATTTTATCGAGGGTTGCGCATGTTCGGTACTGACTTTATGATGATCAGCAAACTATTTCCGGGAAGGTCCAGGCGCCAGATCAAGTTGAAGTTCAACAATGAGGAGCGCCGTGACCCGGGACGGATCAAGGACACGCTGCTAGGGCCGCGGGAAGCTGTTGACATTACAACCTACTCCGAGATGACCAACACCATCTATGACGATCCCAGGATCATTCAGCAAGAACTAGATGAGGAGAAGAAACGGATTGAGGATCAGCATGCTAAAGAAAAGCAGGCTCAAGAGGAGCTGATTAACAATCCAGATGGTGCCGCGGATGCTAATCATTCGTCAGAGCAAGGTCCAGGCACTGCACCTGTCAAGAGCAAGCGCAATAGCCGGAAGCAGGCCGCTAAGGATATGAACGGTGGCAATGAAGAAATTCTGGGCACTATCGATGACTTTCCTTGAAATATAATGCTCCTTTTGATTGATATGATTTAGACTGTGTTGGTATCTAATGTGACCCTGACGACAGGCGTTTGCGGCGTTTCCGATATCCCTAATCCGGTGTTGTTGTTGTCCCGGTGGTTGGCAAGAAGTTCAGTCCTATTACTGTTTGCTCTGCCTTCATATCCTTGTGCTTCCTTCTACGATTTCCCGACCTAGTTACCGTTCATATCAGTCTGCTCCGTTACTTCGCGGGTCATGGCGTTTTATTCCTGACTCATGGACTGGATTTCCTTTTTGTCTAGCATGGTTTCAGGCAAATCGCTAGAGTATATAACTTGTTGCGCGAAACATTTGAAGCCCCTGAGATAAATCTTGCCCCATATCACCGACGCCTTGTGGAACCAAACCCTGTACTTGTAGTCGGAGTAGAGAACTGAGGAGAACGAGACCGCGAGCTGCCTTCTCCAGGATCATTTGCATCACTCCATCTGCCGAAGGAGGTCGTTCGCCGGGTAGCAGAAGGATATTCGTGGCGATTTCTTCTTCCATACTGATAGCCAGCCGCAGCACCACCCATAGCACCTGTCCAGAAGCCGGGCCTCCAGCCCTGTCCAGCAGGCGCCGACGCGAAAGAACTACTATCCGGGTAGCTGGTATATGGTGGTGGAGGCCCAGGATAGGGACCTCCACCTCCACCATCGCCGCCACCACCACCACCAAACCCACGACCAGGAGTACGGCCTCTTCGGTTTCCTCGCGAACCGGAACATTCTCCACATATGGCTACCAGAATCACGAAAAAAACCACACCCAAAAACCCAAAGAAGAGTATATCTACTAAAGCCGTACCGTTCCCTTTGTTATTCAACGGCATTCTAGGCCAGGTTTCTTCGCGTACACGTCCAAATTTTCGCTCTCCAAGTTCCGTCAACAAGAGTCGGTACTCTACACCACAGCTGCCTTTCAGTACCCACTTGTCATCTGCATTTCGGTATCCCTCGCAGACAACATCTGTCGAGCCAAGCTTGAACTCCTGGGGTAGTGATGCGGTACAGGTCCATTGGACGTCTTCTTCATCATAGTCGTAGCCTGCATTGGTGCACCGCATTACATCGATAGGATACAGGTCACATATCCTCTTAGATGGCCCCGTGCATTTTAACTGGGGGATGGGATCAACACGGCGAGAGGTTGTAAGACGACTTCCGCGCAGAGTCAACGTCTGCACATTGGAGAGAAGGACGGCATTGTTGCCGGGAGGATTCCTGCCATATGAGAGGGCAGGAAGCACAAGAAGGAGGCAATACAGGAACGTATGTAAGTTTATTGAATACATAGTTAGACAGTAAACCAAGCAATGACAGCTGGCTGGTTTCGCGAAAAAGATTGACGAGAAGTGGAGCTTTTGTATACGTGGTAGCTGTGGTGGCGTTTAGTTTACGGGCATGTTGACAGCTGTCATTATCCACTAGGCAGGGCAAACAGACGTGTCTTTGGTGTGAAATTTCTGAAAATCGCCGTAGGAAAGAAAAGGGTTTCCTCCGAAACTGCAGACTAAGTGGGTATATTACCCTTTGTCCCTGACTGCCTGCTCATTGTTCTTGTGTTTTCTGGTAGAGGAACAGAACAAGAAGCGATAAGCGTGATAATCGATGCGATAAGGAGATCTGACGCTAGTCCAGACTAGTCTACGAGTCTAAATTAAATTGCGAGCGGAAGTTCAAACCCTCCAACTTCTTCTACTAAACGCTGGTGCAGCAATGGGTGATGAGCAGTCATTAAGGTTGACAGTGGCTGAAAATGACATTTCAGCAAAGTGCGCTCTTGTTTCTCCCCATGTGCAATTCTTTTCATTTTTAGCTAACCGTGACAAATTGATTAGATGAACCCTCGGCCGTTCCGGCGCAATCCTCGTACGTCATTTGGATAGATACCCTAGCAATTTCTCGAATGATAACCTAATGAGGCGATCAAGTCTATCCTTCACTCAGGGATTCCTTCTAGGGCAGCTCTCCGTTGTACTGCTAATCGGTGCCTTCATCAAGTTCTTCATTTTCGGCGAAGCTCCTCCACCGCCGTCCCGCGGCCTTTCTCACCGCGCTTCAACCCACAGACGCTCCAATTCGATCTACGCCATAAACCCTAATGAAGGAACATCTAGATCGCTGAGAGAAAAACCGTCCACGTCCAACGTTCTTCGTCCAGTGCCGTCATCCTCTACCAACACTCGATCCATTCTTCGGAAAACCTACTACAGCGCTATCCCTACAAACCCCTCGGGAAAGCATGGCCGCCATAGGATCCATCATTCCTCGCATCAGCCGGAATCGCTGGATTGGTTCAATGTATTGATCGCACAAACTATTGCGCAGTATAGGCAAACGGCGTACTTGCTGAAAGATGACCCTACGTCCTCGATCCTCAGTTCGCTGACTGCGGCATTGAACAACCCAGAAAAGAAGCCTTCCTTCATAGACAAGATCGCGGTGACGGATATATCCTTAGGCGAAGAGTTTCCAATCTTCAGCAATTGTCGTATCATTGCTGTGGACGATCCCAACTCTGACGGCGGAAGGCTTCAGGCATTGTTGGACGTCGACTTAAGTGATGACAATCTCTCTATTGCTGTAGAGACCTCCCTTCTCTTGAACTACCCCAAACCTTGCTCGGCCATTCTTCCGGTGGCTCTATCTATCTCCGTTGTACGGTTTTCAGGGACATTGTGCATATCTCTGGTCCCAGCATCCACGCCTCCCCTTCACACACCGTCACCTTCACCGTCACCCCCAACTGCAGATGGGGCTGCTAATACACGAACACAGCCTACCAATGGGTCAGGAGACCCTGCTCAGGATCCCCCTAACGCACAAGAAGAGTCTCCGCCAAAAACCAGCCCGAAAAGCAACGTCGCGTTCTCATTCCTCCCTGACTATCGACTCGACCTCTCAGTGCGGTCACTCATTGGCTCCCGTAGCAGGCTTCAGGATGTACCCAAAGTCGCTCAACTGGTGGAAGCCCGTGTTCATTCATGGTTCGAGGAACGTGTAGTAGAACCCCGAGTGCAAGTGGTAGGCTTGCCGGATCTCTGGCCTCGCATGGGCCGGACAGGCGTACGGACAGAAGACTCGGAAACTGGCTCTAACGCAGCATCACGGTCCGCTATGTCTGCCGATATGGGGAATCCACTTCGAGCCGATGACATCGGTAGGGAACCAGACGGGCTGAGATTCCGAGGAATGGGGGCACGGCCACCGTTCGACACTGTCTCACAAACGAGTAGCTTCAATGTCGAGACAGGTGGATTTCGCAGCCATAGCATGACCCGAGAGGGAAGCGGTGGTGGCATGAGTGATGACTTTCAAATGCCTGGCACTTTACCTGGAGGTGCGGCCGCTAACTAATGGCTTAATTTTGCTGATGTATACTAACGTATGTTTTCACAAAGAGGATCTTTTCGCGTAATAAGCGCGTGGTTTTTTGTGTACTACAGGGCATAGCGAAACCGAATGCTCGTCATGAATCTCATTGCTTTGATATATACACATTCAATCGTCAAATGTAGCCATGCCAATCACCTGGAAAGATGTAGATCACGAAACAAATCGAGCCATCCCGAAATCCATGCTTTGGCCCTGAACCTATCAAAACATCCCTTTTAGTTTGCAGCCACAGCTGTTGTGCCGAGAGTTCCAAGATATGTCTTCCTGTGAGGGTTGGTATCAACCTCTTCGCTACGGTTCAGAGGCGTCCACTTAGGCTCTTCCTGGAAGAGGCGCATAGCCTTGACATACTACAGGTACATGGTCAACAGCCTGACGTGATTCAAGACAACTGACACAAACTCACATTCTTCTCGTCGGTTGTAAATCGGTGGTAGATGCCGGCAGGGAGGATGATTAGGTCGTCCTTGCTAAGCTGGATACGGATCCATTCATCCTCCTGGCCGCGCACATCGAAGTAACCCTCACCATCGCGGATGTATCGGATTTCCTCATCCTCGTGAAGATGCTCAGCAAAGAACATCTTCACCTTCGACTCGTACACGTCGCCCATGGCCTGTGGAGAAACGCACACCTCATCGCGGTTCTTATATCCGCGTTCCTTGGCCAAAGCATCGACGGACTTGATATCAGGGAGGTAGCGGTAGAAAACTCCGATGGAAGCGAGGTAGTCTTCGGAGACAGGACGGCCAGAGTCGTGGGGCTCACGCTGGTCACCCTGTTACAAGATTAGCTACCGTCCTCCTCTTGCGATCATGACGGCGTCGGGCAATGCCTTCGGAGTTGTCGAACTTACCGGCTTGTTGTCGTACCAGTATGCCTTCATCGTGGCTTGTCGTTCCGACTTTGTTTCAGAGATTATAATGGAGTAGCGTTTCCAATTCCCTGTGGAGAAGATACTTCAGGAACAGAAGAGCAGCAGAGGATGAATCAAGAAAAAAAAGGCCCGCAAGCCAATGGTCCGCGGGGTTGAGAAAATCGAGCCCCGCAATTGGCCAACGATTGCGCAACGATCGAGGCCTCTGATCTCACCGCCCTCGGAGTTAACGGCCATAGTGCGGCTGCACGTGATGCGTAACAGCCAGATTTTCTGTTTAGTTGGCCGGGGATCGGAATTAATTCATTTTGCGATTTGACTATCCACCATATAACCCCCGTCATCATGGCTTTTCGGGTGCGGTCAGTGACTCTTCAGCGATGGAGTCACGGTTCTCGCTCCCGATTGCTAGGCTCAGTTCGCGGTCTGGCCACTGTTTCTGATGGTTCACGGTATGCCCTTGTTTTGCGCATCGCTATCCTGCTTTTCAGGATCCTTCATTTAGCTCCTGGCATTGATGTTCTTGATATAGGCCATACGATGTCGTCGTCATTGGAGGTGGACACGCTGGCTCGGAAGCCTGCGCTGCTGCAGCTCGCTCGGGTGCTCGCACTGCATTAATCACACCCTCGCTCTCTAACATCGGCGTATGCTCGTGCAATCCAAGCTTTGGAGGAATCGGAAAGGGCACAATGATCCGGGAAGTTGACGCAATGGACGGTGTTGCAGGGCGCATAATCGACAAAGCGGGTATCATGTTTCGGATTCTCAACAGATCGAAGGGGCCTGCAGTTTGGGGCCCTCGCGCTCAAATCGATCGTGACCTGTACAAAAGATACATGCAAGAAGAGCTACTCGCAACCGAAGGGCTGAGTGTGTTGGAGGGGAAAGTTGCAGATATAGTGGTGTCAAAAGAGGGCGTAGAGGATGTGCCCGGAGCGCAGGGCAAAATCGTCGGAGTAAGGCTGGAGTCTGGGGAGGTCATACCTACTAGCCGAGTGGTGATCACAACAGGGACCTTCTTGGGCGGAGAAATCCATATTGGAATGACTGTATACCCGTCGGGCCGCATGGGTGAGGCCGCTACGTTTGGACTAAGCAAGTCCCTTCGTGAGGCTGGGTTCCAACTTGGTCGTCTGAAGACTGGGACTCCTCCTCGACTGGATGCCAAGACGATCGATTTCAAATCCCTCGAAGTTCAGAAAGGCGACTCACCACCGCAACCGTTTTCCTACCTCAACAATACGGTTCAAGTTGGTGATGAAGGTCAACTCAACTGTTGGATGACCCATACCAACGAGGCCTCTCACGACATTATCCGTGCTAACTTGGATAAATCCATCCATATTCGCGAAACTGTCAGAGGACCGAGGTACTGCCCTTCCCTTGAGTCAAAGATCATCCGCTTTCAGGACAAGAAGCAACATCTCATCTGGCTGGAACCAGAGGGATTTGCTCCCAACGATGTTATTTATCCTAACGGAATCTCTATGACTGTTCCGGAAGACGCTCAGTTCGCTATGCTACGGACAGTTCGCGGATTGGAAAACGTGCGCATGCTTCAACCAGGTTACGGAGTGGAATACGACTATATCGATCCTCGTAACCTCTGGCCTACTCTGGAAACGAAACTGATCAGTGGACTCTACCTCGCTGGCCAGATCAACGGGACAACCGGATACGAAGAAGCCACAGGACAAGGAATCATCGCCGGTACCAACGCCGGTCTCTCCGCCCAAGGCCGGTCGCCACTCACGCTTACTCGGTCAGACGGGTTTATTGGAATCATGATCGACGACCTCATCACCAAGGGTGTATCTGAGCCCTACCGTATGTTCACAACGCGGAGCGAGTACCGTATCTCTACGAGATCAGACAATGCGGATCTACGCCTAACACGAAAGGCTCGCAACGCCGGTGTCGTCTCCGACAAACGCTGGCGACATTTCACCGACACCGAGGCTCAGATCAACGAGCTCCAGACTCTTCTCGCCAACACAAAAATGTCCTCTAACGCATGGTCTCGTAAAGGCTTCAAGGCCCGAGTAGACACCTCGATCCGTTCAGCACTGGACCTCCTCTGCCTCGACGAAGTCGAAATTGATGCCTTAATCCCCCACATCGAATCCCCTTCCGGAAAGGTCTACACTCCCTCTTCCTTTGCCCCAGAAATCCGAACCCGTGTTGCTATCGAACGCCGGTACGCCCCCTATGTCGCACGACAAGAGACAGCAGTCCGCAAGTTCCTGCAGGACGAAAGCCTACTCCTCTCCCCTGACTTGGACTACTCCAAGGTGCAAGGCATCAGCACAGAGGAAAAACAGGCTCTCGAACGCGTCCGACCCGTCAGCGTTGGTATGGCCCGCCGGATCGAAGGTGTCACTCCCGCAGGTGCCTTACGCTTACTTGCTCATGTCCGGAGAACCGGTCCACCACCTGCGAGTGAGAACCTAGAAGAGACCCCGGATGACATCCTCCAACAAGCTCCTTAGATTGAGAATTTAATCTGGTACATAATCACATACACCACTTACGAAGATGCACAGTTTGCAGTTATATTTAGATATTCAGCGGCAAACACACCGGGCGCAATGGACAGGTTCAGGGATAGGTGTCTGATACGGTAGGGCTTGCTTTGCATCCGGCCTTTGGGGGCGATACTCCGGAGCAACATGTACATTATTCTGCATTTTCTTTTTTTTGGCTTTCCTCTTGGTCGATTCGGACGGGTCATGGACGTGCGCATATTTATAGGAATCACCTCATCTCACCATGTACAGTAACACTATAGATAAACCATTGAAGATACCTTTTCATGTTATTCTAGAACAGCTTTTGATCGCCATTTACTCGAGGACGTTAGAATAAAACTCAATTAAAAAAAAAGCGTAAGCACTCTCACGCTGAACTGAAAAAACAGGTACAACACATATAAACCGCTTCCTATATGTAAGATAGATGCCTAACTAATGTACATATGACATACACGTATTGGTGCGATATATTCAATTAGACTTCTTCACGCTGGCCCTAGCCAGGCGCTTTTGCACTTCTTCCTTTGTAAGGATCTTGACTGCGTCTCTAGAGAAGATGTAGCTCATTCCAGACCAGATGGTGGTGGCTGCGACGAGGTATCTAAGTTCATTTGGTTAGTTTTCAATTTCAGTTCTTAAGATTGTCATGTGTGGCACAAAATCAATATACAAAAATGAAAATTCTGTTTTATCAAAACATGAATTAAAAAAACATACAACAGGAGGGATTCGCTGGTGGTCACCCACCCAACTACTAACCTCCCGGCGTGTGGCTTAAGTACGGCTGAGCGGACGGGAAGCCCTGTTCTCCACACCCTATGGTCGTATGTGCTTGTTTTCTTCCCGAAAAGGCTTATATTGCCCGCTCAAGCTATTTTCCTACAGCCAAAAAAGATAGGAAGTGTGAAAGGAGATGATAGACAATAACGGGAAATGTTCACTTACTGAAATCCGGTCATTGCTTCTTTGAGATTCCATGCGTCGATGATTGCTTCCGGAACAACAGGCAGTGCAATGGCACTCCCCACAAGTAGCAGCTGCAGGGCGGTGTTGACCTTAGAGATTGTCGTAGGCCTGACCTCCGCGGAAGGGAGAGAAAAATCCCAATACCGTGCCATGGTTTTGGGAGGGGGGAGAGAGATCCAACGATAGTAAATCGCGGATATAGCAAGGCCGACATCACGGCCGAGGATGATGACGGCGAGCCACACTATTTGAGCAAGTTAACATCGCTATACATGCCGGCATTTACCTCTCAAAAGTTGTTAGGGGAACGCTAACCCGGAATGGAGCCGTTGACTGCTAAGCAAGCGACTCCAATGGTCATCAGTAGCTTATCAGCCATGGGATCGATGATCGTCCCAACAACCGTTTGGAGGTTATACCGCCGTGCGATGTAGCCATCAACGAGGTCGGTAATTCCAGCATAAGCGAATAGGGCCAACGCGGCCTGGTGATAATCATGGACAAGGAAGTACCCTACCAGAGGGGCGGCAACCAAGCGGGTCATGGTGAGTATATTGGGAATCGTGTAGATGTTCTCGTGGCTGGAAGGCAGGGGAATACGAGACAGGATTGGAGACTTTTTTGAACCAGTTTGAGATCTTATACCACTTAGTTCTCATGAGGTCATAAATGTAATGCGCATAAAAATAAGACTTGATGAAAATGCGGAGTAAACACAACACGGGACATCTAGGACACCTACTTTTGAGCGTCAGTCTGATCAGAGGGCTTCTCGGTGGCATGCCATCTCCTTTGAGGGCCCAGACTTTGGCGCCAATGAGACGTCAGGCGCAGAGTCGCGCTGCCGTTGTTGTTCAGGGATCTAGAAGTCCGTTAGACCAATATCCCCTTCAAACACGGTTAACGCGAGCAAAATCTCATACTTGCTTCGCAACGAGTTCGATGGACCAGCTAATGTAAAGATTGAAGAGCCGCGAAACTCCATTTGAAGACCCGACCGTCTTTCCCGCACGGCAGCGCCGTTTCCGAGGAACGAAGGTGCAGTGCCCCTGAACAAGCGAGGACATTGTCGAGACACGCGAAGAGGCGCCAGCACAAAAGACCCTGCTGCCATGATGAAAGCTCGATATTCAGAGACAATGAGCAGATTATAGAGCCAGTCAGATCAATGAGTGAACTGCAGTATGGCACTGGAGGAGACCTATGCAGCTTCCAACTTCAAAAAGGAATGTTCACTTAGATAGTTTCGCTTCTTCTCACGCATAAGCAATAGTATACAGCTTCGATATGTTACCAGGAGGCCAAATCAGTCAATCCATGTACTGATATCGAAGGTCAGTGCTCTGCAGGCCAAATTCATATAACAGTGAAAAAAAATACTGCCAAGTCCAATTCGAATTCCTTCCGCGGAAATTAATACGAAAATGAAGAAGGTGTCAAATACTGGAAGCCGAAGTAGCCAGTGGTGACCGACAACAGTTCAAGCTATCCGATGGAGTGATATAGAAGTAGTGGCAGCTCGATGACCGAGTTCCGCGACTCCAACCCGAGGGAAATCTCAAGGTTAGCAGGAGCGCAACTAACAAAGAATCCAGGCAATTGCCATTCAAAACAGACTTGAATGCAATTGGCTGGGGAGCTGCCACAGAGAGATATATCAGGTTGAGAATCAAAAAGCACAATGGAAGCTATACAAATCGAGGCTCGTGATTTGAGGAAACGTCCGCGGAACAACAGTTGATCCGGATGGTGTCATGTGATGGGGACGGTCAGCAGTACGACCAAGTCGTTGGCATTATGACAGTGACCATGACACCGATGATGATCGAGTCGTAAGGCTGACAGTTGGTGTAATGAGTACTTGATCAAGTAACGTTACAAGATTTGCAGCTGACTCATTACAGGCGATCGAGTCCATCTGCTCTGATACAGCAGATCGACCTGTTCTTGGCATGCTGCTATATAAATTCGCGCGCGTCTCATCTGACTTGCCTGCTTCCATCAGTTCTTCTCACCTGATAGTAAGAAGAGCAGCTGTCCACACTGCTGTCGTCATACTAAATGACCCCACAAAATGAGGTAACACGTATAGAATGCCTTTACCCCGGACCTTTAAGACACTCCGCTGGAGTGCTACAGGTGTTCACTATAGTGTGTTACTCTATGGATAGTAATAGGGCATCATTACTTCGCCATGGGGATATGGGATGACGGTGAGGATCCGGACCTGTTTCCGATGAGGAACCCGAACATGGCCATGGTCACTATAGACCGTCCTGCGGCTCCAGCACCACCAGGAACTTCATCGCCTCCGGCATCAAGACGGTCCAGTGCACCCGAGCACCCATCCGCGGAGCCCTCTACAGATCCAAATCTGGGCAATCCCCGTCTTATGGTTAACAGAGCATGTATCTACGAACGTCACTTGCCGGGGGATGCCTACGTTACGGCTCACGTGCAGCGCCTGCAACACGGGTTTTACTCGAGCACAGCCGTCTCTGACCAAGACCTCGACCATGTCGACTTTCTGGGGATCAATTTCGTTTTTCACTCCCCCAACACACTTACGCATCGCTTCAAGGCAGCGACCATCCGAGTCTCGCTGCATAGCATGCGAGAAAACTCCAAGGCCCCCACTGCGTCACAAAACCCCCATGCATACCGATCGAGAAATCCACGGTTTCTCAAGCACGCACCGCACCTCCTGTACGGGGCTGTCTCGCCTGAGACGCTTCAATGGAACTACAGCCTCTCCGGATCGCTCGGTATAGCTGAGCTACCCCTCATGGCCAGCATCTCGCCCTCCGGCGGCATGAACGGACGGTACCGACGGTACGAGATGATGAGAATCCAGGGCTCGGTCCGGTCATTAAAGAGCCCACGCGGGCGGAAGTTCGACGTCGAGGCAGGGGAGATTGTCTGGTCACTAGAGGAGAACAATCTACAGCGATCTGGTCTGCCGCGGGAGTTCACGTTCGCTATGTTAATCCAGAAACCGCGCGCCGACAGCCGAATCAAACTCGTTCTGGATATCGAGCCAGTCCTCCAATGCAGCTACTTCAACTACCCGACATGGTGGCTGGATCTCCCGGCGTACAAACCGGTCCCTCGACGGTCGGTAGACTTTCGAGTCGAAGTCGGGCAGCGCTTTGAGCCCCTTACACCCGATAAAGGATTCAACTTTGCTACCCTAGAGAGTTCATTTGATGATTATGTGCATATGCCAGGAAGGAAGGTCACCACCGGAGTGAGTATAGTCCGCCGTTGACAGGAACCAATCAATCGAGGAACATATCAAAAAGTTCATAAAAGCTGACGCAAAAGCATAGGTACCCCTAGACGGCGGAGTCACCCAAGATGACAACGAAATTCGGCGCGAAGTCACCCGAGATTTCTCCATGGTCGAGCCCGTCCGGGGGATCCCCAGAGCGCCATACACCGGATCAATGCCCGCTGGGGCCGCAGGCAAAATGTCCAGAAACCGGAGCGGAGTCAGCAGCATGCTGCCTATCCTCGACCCGGGGTCTCTCTCCGTGCAGATCCTGCTCGATAACAGCCACGGGCACAGCAGGCAGCTCGCGACGCATATCTCCGCGCTGCGGTCGAGCAGCAACACTGCGAAAGAACAAGATAAGGCGCAGGGGCAGGCCTGTCCTCCATCTCCCGCGAGTATCCGGGATAACCGATCATCGACGCAGCCCAAAAAAGTGCGGATCACGCAAAGCGTGTCGGATAATCAAATCACGAAGCGCGGTCGAGGCACCTAGATAGAGTTGACTTTACCACCCCCCCTCTCTTCCCTCCCCAGCATCTAGAAAGTATATTACATGCCCTGTGCTTAATGAAATGTATGTACAATAGACTACAGCAATGATACCCCCCAGCATACAAGCGACGTGGGACCAAGCTCATAACCCCAGTAGAAACTCAAATCCACGCAAAGGAGAAAGAACCCCAGATCAGCCCCCACTATGCAAGTATATCAAATCACATACATAAATATATACATACATAACATCAAACAACCAACCACCAAGCAACCCAATCCAAGCCCCCTGTAAAAACAAAAAAAAAAAACAAAAAAAAAAAAAAAAAATTAAGAACAAAAAAGAACAAAAAGAACAAAAAGAAAAAGAAAAGAAACCAAGATAAAAGAAGGGTAACAAAAAACAAAAATACACCCCACAAAAACCAACCAACCCCCAGTCAATAAAACCCCTACTTAAGAAAAGAAGAAGAAAAAAAATTGAAAAAATGATGACACAAACTAAAACCCACCGCAGCCAATGACCCTGGGCCCCGTGATCGGCACCCCAGAAACGGTACTTAATTGCCATGCGAACGCACATCATTGGACAGGAGCCGAGTGGATCTCTCGGGATAAATCGCAAGGCCCACATTCGGGCATGATCTGCATCCCGAAAGTAATAAGTTGGAGGTATATTAACTTAAATCGTTGAAATTGGGGAGAGACCCTGACCTTGCCTAATTTATTTGAATTTAGGTTAACCTTTAGTTTCATGCCTCTTTTTTTTTTTTTTTTTTTTGTTTTCTGCTTTGGTCTTCTCTTTCTTCATTTTTGATCTGTAGGGATAAGGGTATGATACTGTGGCTGAGGGGGGAGGTGGATTGGGGTCTGGTAACCTTGGTTCGTGGAATGGTTGGGTTTTGTTACGGTCACATTTCCATTTTTCTTTCTTTTTCTTCTTCTCTTTCCTGTCTTTGCTGTGTAATACGCTATCCTTTGGTTTCTGGGTTGAGACCTTGTATAGTATTGTTGTCTGCGTAGATGTAGATATGCCATGGTCATGACATCCACAAGGATAACCCCTAACAGGAAAGAAAGACGGAGGAAAAAAGGAGATGGTATCAAGTTTATGGAGAAAGAGAAAGCACAGCAAAGAAATACAGATAATTATACTTGAATTGACCCTACTTTTCCCGAATACAACGAGCCGGATATCGATCGAGTCGAACAGAGAACCACCCACATGTGCAAATCGTGAACTGAAACAAAAAAAAACATGAACGTGAGAGAGCAGTTAAAAGACTGATCCCTCCCAAGTAATAAGATATTGCGAAAACCATCCCATCCATCACAAATGATACAAGAGAAGTAAACGTTTCTCGTACATCTCCTGCACAACACTGCTTTAGTACCCGAAATCATCTTGCAGTCGACAACGGCCCCAGGTACAATCGCAGAAGGGGCCCAAGAAAAGACACAGGGTAATGATATCACCAGCTCCTCGCTGAACATCGCATGAAACACTAGTAGAAGGGAGTAGAAGAAATAGCGAGGCGGTTCGGCAAACCAGCGTTGCAACGAACCGACTGGTGGACCTGCGACTCACGCCTCCATATACACCATAATTCATGGTGTCCTCCCAGAAAACACTAAGGATATGATCGTGACGAACAACAAACAGAAAGAAAAGGAGAAGAAAACAAACAAAAAGATATACCACAGATAACCGCCCCAAACCGTGCCACCCAAACCGACCCATTGATCATAATCACATTAGAGCGACACGCAGAGAACATTGCTTTCAGAGGGGATAATAATGAAATAACAACAAAAAACGGCCCAGACGGCAGAAATAATATGAAGGAAGGCTAGAACTAAAGAGAGGGAATTTGCAGTGCATCACATCATCGTAGGGGGAATAACACAACTATAACGGTCAAAGAAACAACAAGAGCCACCGGTATCTCCTCTAAGAGCAGTAATCATCCGGGTAATCATCCGTAGCATATATGCAGAGTCTATTCCCAAATTGCCGCCCTTCTGGAGAGAGAAAACGTATAACATGCGAAAATTAGGTGTTAAGAATGGAAAAAGAGGGAAATGAAGAATAAGGAGAAGAGTGTTAGACCAATAATGGTTATACTTACGGTTGAGCCGGAGCCGTCGCCCAAGTCGACAAAGGGTAGTTGGTATGGGCAGCTTGAGCGGTGGCGCCCACATAATACGGATGTCTGTCGCCGGGGTAATAAGGGTTAGGCATTGGATTCGACTCCCGACGAGGGATACTAGGGTCAAAAGCCGACATGCCGCGCTGTTCCAGAGACTGGTGCGACGCCCCATCCAATTGCCCCGCTAGGCTGAAACTGTTACCCCGTGAATATGTAGCCGGAGTGGCAGGATCCATCGGCGAGGTTGCATCGGTTGCAACGCTTCGCGAGGAAATCGAGGAGTTCCGATAAGCCGAGGGGCTGTGATCCGAGTGGGACCGATTACGGTCGCTCAAAGAGCTCGGCATCGCCCCGCCCAGGGCGGATGGAATGGACGACGAAAGAGGATTATGGTTAAGCGCATCGAAGCTCGTGCCATACTGCGCTGGAGCTCGGAACTGCGGATAGTCGTCGGGTTTCTGTGGGATCTGAGTCGGAGCTGACGGAGCAGGAAGATAGGGATTGGGGGCCGGCTGTGCAGGGATTGACCCGGCCATTGAATACGCCGTCATAGGGGCCGACTGTGGCGGATGAGTGGCCGCATAAGGGTTCGCGTGCATGTAGAACTCCGAATGATGATTCGACACCCCATATGGGGCTACCAGCTGCGGACGATATCCGTACAGCGCGTGGGATGGGTCATTTACATTCTCCATGCTGCCAGCCTCTAGATCATCAATGGGAGCCCGGAAGCTTTGCTTCTGGATCAGTTCTGCCCGGGGCCTGATAAATCTCAGTGAATCGACCATCGACGGCGGGTTCAAGACACCTCTCATCACATCTTCGACGCTATAGTATGACACCAGATGGTGCGTCACGCCAGAGACAGTCACACTCATCGTCTTCTTGACCAGACCCGAGTCCTTGAAGCCGTAGGAATCCACCAAGGAACCGACTAGCGCTCGTTCTACATCTGACTGGTGCGATCTCTCTCCAAACGTCCCGGTTGACGAAGGAGAATAGGCCTGGCCACCGTTGCTGTCATGGTGTGGATAGGGCTCACCGGGTCTGTTTGGAGGGACTGGCCGTCGGTTAGCCTTCTTCATCGCTCGCTTCTTCTCGCCCGGGGGGAATGGCTTTTCGAGTTCTCTATAGACCAAGAAGTTGCCCAGAATGCGACTCGGGCTCCAAGTGACGCCGTCTGTCCATCGCTTGATCCCCGACGAGTTTTCCTCGTAGATAAACACGCTGCCGCTCCGGACCAAATGACCACGCTCCCGATCGTGAGGTCGGCGAGGCACATGATGCAGGACACCGGTCAAACACGCCTCGAACAGGATTAATGCATCTTGCGTTGTCGCAACGTACCCCGTGAAGGTAGGCTCCAACACTGTGGTGGTGCCGTTGACCATTGTTTATGGTTGTTGTAGGTTCGAACCTAGTTCAAAGGGGGCCAGAGAGGTAAAATCGATCAAAGTTAAGGCCACCGCTGATCAAGGTTTCGCGGGCTAGATGGTTATTCAACAGAGTAGTAGCTCCCAACCCGCAGAACGAAGGATGGCATACACAAGACTCGCGATTTCGGTGAATCGCGACTGCCAGAAAAGTACGGTTAAATAAATCGATGAGCTCTCTATCTCTCTCCTGCGATGTGATCACACTCGAGAGAAAACTGGAGCTTGGAGAACGGGAGAATTTGGGAGGGGGAGGCAAATGTCCAGTCGACCTCCCGGGGCGAAGTTTAGGAGGGAATGACAGGTTGATGGAGAGTCAAAGCGGACGGTGAACCGTAGAAAAGGGATGATGGCGCAAGTTAAAATCCCCTCCTCAACGAGTTGAAGGATCACCCAGACGTGGGCGACCCGGATCGACAGCAAGCACGGGCCCGTCCTTTCTTGCCCAGGTCTTTCGTGAGGAAAGACAGGTTGGATCCGGAGATTCAATCGCCCTAAGCAATTCCTGGGTCGACTGGAGCTCTGGTTCCACGGATAGCGATCGGGATCGTAAAGTGTTGACTTATGACTAGACTCGTCCCCGAACCAGAGAAAGCGCTGCGGGAATTCCAAGAGTTGGGCCTGCAAGATGGGTCAGATGAACCCCGATTTTTATCGTCCAAAATTCCCAACGAGAAAGTATTTTATACACCAAACCCGACTCGCAAGAAGAAGAAGAAGAAGAAGAATCAAAGAAAGAGAGAGAGAGAGAGAAAAGAAAAGAAAAGAAAGATCAATTCAGCTTACACTTTGGTGAAGTCAGTGAATGTGCAGTTTGGGGTGCCTGGCTCCGGAGGAGGGAATGTAAGCCGATTTTATCCACTTTTTGGGGTTCAGAACAGCCACCAATGCGCCATACGAAATTGAGATTAGAAAACGAAACAATAACAAGAGCTGTGGAAATCTCAGAGAACAACTTGAAACATCCTGGGGGAAAAAACTAATCAAAAATAAAAAGGGACCAAAACAAGATGAAGATATTGAGCAGGATGGGGCAAAGGTTTAAAAATTATAGACTAAATCAAAAAGGCAAAGAAATAAAATAAGAGGAATTTAAATGATCAAGATTCACATAACAGACTGCAGGGTTCGTCCAGGGTAAGGTATTGTAAGAGCTCTTCCCTTTTTTTTTCCAATCTTTTTTTTTTTTTTTCAAAAATTGAAAATAAATAAATGAAAAAAATGAAAAAACAGAAAATGAAAAAATAAAAAGAGAGAGAAGATTATTAAAAAAATCCCCTAACCCCTTCCTGATGATGATGACGATGATGATCGAAGCGGAAGTTGGCCCAAAGAAAAATAATAATAATAATAATAATCAATCAATCAATCAACTGAGATTGAACAAAACAAAAAAAAAATAGAATAAAACAAATAAAATGAAATATTCATAAAAAAAAAAAAAAAAGAGAAAAGAGAATATAATAAAATAAAATAAAAATGAGAGAGGACTGGATGTCGATAAATGAGCGGAAAGCAAGTCAAACTAGACCACAGCCGGGCATAGTGTGGGTTTGCAGGGAGGACACAGACGTGGTGACAAGACAACCCAGACCGTGAAGAGTGACCGGCGTGTGCGGGCGGGGCGACCCAAAAAGCGCAGGCCTGAGCAGGAGGCAGAGAGGGCCCAGAGGTAGAAAATGAGGATGGGTGGGGTGGGGTGCAACTAGCGATCCCAAGGAGCAGGCAAATCCGCAACTGGTTGCTGGTGGATCTTCCTCCATGAGGCCATCGCGGATCCATCACTCCCAAGGGAAAGCTCCAAAGTCTGGAGGCAACCTTTCGGATGGTTTTTTTTCTTATAAAGAACTGGGGCACGTCACAACTTTCAAAATAAACTGGAGAGGCATACCACCAAAACATAAAAAATAAAAATAAAAATAAAAATACGAAATAAAGGGAAAAATAAAATAAAATAGAATAAAATAAACGATCAAGTCATCGGATCATCATCATCATCATCTCATGGAGAATATTATTTTATTCTCCTTGGAAGGAGTGGGATAGGGGAAAAAAAAATATAAAATAAAACAGTCATCATGCAAAATAAAACGAACACTGCAAGTTTTCACGTGGGAAATCAGGTTTAAAGGTGACAAGAGCATATCAAAAGATGAAAAAAGAAAAAGAAAAGAAAGGAAGATTTAGAGTACAGCAACCCCATACTTCCAATGATCAAATAAGAAACACCATAAAAATAACCAGACGAATAAATTAAACGAGAAACCAACAGGGGAGTGAGATAGACTTGACTTACTCTGAAGAATCCAAAAAAGGCGTAGGGATGGCAGAAGCAGGTACCCCGTTTCAACTGTTTCGGTTTTGGTTTGCTGGTAACTCCTCAACCTTAGTTCGAGGAGCAGTAATGACGTCCACTATTAGGTATTGTATCTCTTCGGCTTCGCTCTCTGGTCTCGTTTCTTTGGTTATCACACCTCCTCTTCTCTCTCTCTCTTTTTTTTGTTTTTTTTTTTCTCCTTGTCCCCCGGTTGAAATTGGGAAGTTCACGAGACAGTAGGGAATGACTCAATCAGCAAAGACCACCCGTCCAGGGAATACTGGACTGTATCAGTCGGGGTAGTTCTCTTGAGGGAAAGCAAAAGGAGGGGAACGAAAATCAAAAGAGGGGGTGTCTGTGGAAATTGACCGGAGATCGAGTTGCTGTTAGACTGCGTCCGGGGCACAAAATTAAATAAAGAAAAACCATCAACCCAAAATATATAGAAAGGGCGTTTTTAATTCAGATTACGAAAAACCGAAAGGGTTTTATAAGAGAAAGGGGATCGTAAATTGACCGCAACAGAGAGGGATGGCTTTTCGCATTTGGCCCTAGTAGGTCGGGAATAAACTCATAGATGGGAGACGATGAGGAGGTATGTGCGAGAGTTGCCGTGCGAAGGGAGGAGGGGGGGAAGAGGGAAGGAAGTGGATTATAATGGTCAATGAAGATGGGATGTGATCTAGCAGATATGGGGATAGCGTTAAGCATGTAGATGCATACAGTAAGTCAGTGGTTGTCTATCTTCTCGGAGAGAATCCTCTCGGTATGTCGGTATGTCTATCTGGCATGGATGGGGTATGGATGGATGGATTGATAGAGACAATCAGTCGTCGATGGCATAGAGGTATGTACAGAACAGTTGATCCTTAACTAACGGCATTCACTAAACAATAAGGTAACCAGTAACGGTATAGAAAGGGCTAGTCAGGTAATAGTAGCGGGCAACCATCTTAGTTGTACCAGAGAGGGTCTAGCAGCAATCTAGTTCTGTGGTACAGAGCCATAGCTAGTCAAGTAATAGTCAGTCTCCGGTGCCATGGATGCCCAGGGGCACGTATTAGGGTGGAGCTGGGTGCCCATGATACTTCATAGGATGGGGTGGATTTGGTTGGGGGAAAGCCAGACAGCAACGAAGGAGGGGGCTGTGTGTCGAATTTGCGAAAGAGAATGAGAGCCTGGTTTTTTGGGGGGGGTTGAGTTCGTGTGGAGGAGAAGAGAGAGGAAGAGGGGAAAGGCCAACAAAAAAAAAAAAAAAAAAAGCGGGAAACATCAAAAAATAAAAAAAGAAGAGAATAAAGATCCTATTTGGGAATCAACTGTGAAGTTGAATTATGGATTCTTGTTTCCCTTTTCATTTTGGCTATTTTTTTTATTCTTGATATTGTTCTAAATTGTGATCGCTTTCCTAAATGAATCAAATAAATCTTTCATTCTATAGTTATTTATTTAACCTTTACGCACCTTACAGATAGAAGAAGATAGATGGAAAGTAGATCGAACACTATAGAGAACCTATCTTGATTCTTAATCTTATTATTATTATGGTTAATCTGTATAGACTTCCATCTGGTCCCTCTCAGGTCTGAAGGGGATCAGTCCGCTCGCATGTACGGTACCGTACTGTACTGTATATCAGTGGGCCGGACGCACAGACATTTCCTATCATCGAAGGTTGGGTATGTACAGACAATACACTCACCAGTATTGTCTCTTTTCCACCCGCCTCTTTACTCCCCTCCCTTCTTTCCCACTTCAGAAAGCGCGAGGGAATTGATAAAAAGAAAGCAAAAAAAAGAAAAGAAATGAGAAAAAAAAGACAGCAAGACAGCACCTGGCCCGTGAACATGGACATAATTGAGGGGTTTAGCTGCGGGTGGATCCCAGCCATCCAACCACGGCTCCGCCCCTGACGAGAACTTGAGCACAGGATGATGTGCACCGGTCATCGCCTGTCGGGCAGGCCTTGGCTACGACGACGTTAACTAATAGATAATGCTGGAATGAATGTTGACTGGACAGAGGATTTCACGCCATTCCTCTATTGCCTCACCCTGAAGTGGCTGACCCATTCGAATCGTGGGGACTGATCAGCCGGCGTCATATCTCTAACATGTTGTATTGAATGAAACATCAACGCCCAATCTCTGTTTCAGCAACGTACCGAGTTCACGTGAACCGAGAGCTTCCAGAGGTGGTGGGGACGGTCAAAATGATACGGCTAATTAGAATATCCTGGTAACCTGAAGCCCTATGCTCTAGTAAGGTTTGATAAAGGAACGAGAAAGACCAGAGAGATCGGGGCCTCAACCAGAAAAACCGCGATAAGACGGTAAAGATGAAAAGCAGCCCACAGGAAAAATAAAAGAGGCCCCCGTATCGGAAGGTTGTTGAACAACGGCCATCCCATCCCAAAGGGCTCAGATCTCCTGGAAGAATATTTACGCATGAGTATTATTGCATCGCGGACGGTGACCAATAAGCATCAGGAGGAAAAAGAAAAGAGGGTCGAGAGGAGAACTAGACTCCATTCAGGCAGCTGGAACTGGACACGCTACACGCAGACTAAGGAACTAGACCTCCTCCCGAGGTATCTGGCTGGATGTTAAATGACGCCGCCCTACTTCGCCTATAGTCCAAT